CGAGCGAATACATAAGCATGTCAGACGATCCCCTTTTTCTAGGCACGTTAACTTTTAACTCTCGGCCGCGCGCTTGTTGCGGTAGGTCCGGTTCAAGCCAGTGTCGCCTCTTGGTTTATGGAACTAATATTACACGATACAGGTCACTTCCCGAGAGAAGCGAAACGAATCCCAACAGACACACATGTTTAGCACAACGTCCAATTTGTTGGAGGACATGGGAAACAACAATAGCTCACTCTTAAAAGTGGGCGGTAAGGATCCCGGGAGTGCGTCGGCACCTACAAGCCCTTCGAGATCTCTGGGGGCGTATCCTAATGGGCAGATGTGGCCTAAGGCCGGGTGTTTTAGGGGATCTGAGGGAGCTCAATGCATGGAGCTCTGGGGGCAGCAGGGGTTCTAGAGGGCTACAGAAGAAGGGGCGGAAGCAAGCTTCAGGGGAGGGGATGAGCAGCAGGAGGGAGGGGCATGATGAGGAAGACACAAGAAGCAGCAAGGAGCAGGAAGGAGAGACCCAAGACGCCTCCACGACGGCCCCAAGCGGGGCCCGAAAGTGTATGTGCGCGAATGGGTCTCAAGAGAACGGCTGGGGATCTACCCTCCAAATGGCTCCAAGACCTCCAAGAGACCTCGCAGACCCCATCCCAAAGCTCCTCAATAGGCGCTCGCCCGAGAGGACCGCACGAGGCAGCCGAGTGGCCACCGTGAGGCCCCCACGAGACTCCAGAAAGGCGCACGTCCCTGGAGCCTGCAGCATCCCAAACATGTGTCTAGGAGCCCTCCATGCGAGCTGCTCAAGAACATGAACGGGGATCGGTTGTGGCCTTCAGTCGTTCCCACTGCGCCATTGACCCGCGACCCAGATACACTGTGGTGGGATGGGCCGAAAGCCGCTGGCGTAACAACTTGTCGCGCACGGCCCAACGGGTTCCCTCTGAGCGAATTGGCGTTCATCATGGCAACCGCTACGAACTTGGTCCCACTGCACACCAATTCCAAATGTGCACCGCCAGGAAAAGATGGTAGGAGAAACGATTCACATGAGCTGCTGGGGAAACTGGCAAGGATTAACACTTCACGCCCTACCTGTGTCGCCCTCTCCTGCCCTCCCATCCCACCCTAGCCACGAGACCGGTGCGGCAACTCGCAGAACCGCTCCTGGATTCTTCCTGCGGAAGGTTTTTGGAAGGTTTTTCCTGGGCTCCGGGGGGGGGGGAGGGAGGACAATGTTGTCAGGTTTTTTCCGAAAACCTTCCAAACCTTCCAAGAACCTTCCAAAAATCCGCCGACCCTTCGATTCGATTTCGGTTCGATTTCGGTCCCCACCCTTCCCTTCCCGACGCTTCCCTTCCCTGCTCGTCCCTTCCCTCTCTCCCTCCCTCCCTCCTCCCCCCTCCCCCCCTGCCCTCCCTTCCCGCCCCACCTTTCCACTCTGCCCCCCCTTTCCCTCCGCCGCGCACGCCAACCCGGATTGCGGGTTGCACCCCCGAAACACGAGGCCCGTGCCGCCTGGCCTGGCGACAGATGGTGCCGATTCTGTACGGGAACGGGACCCGTCGCTGATGCACGCGCCTCCATGCATGCCCAAAATTTCCCCGACTGCCTCAGGGATCATCTGACCCGGGTCCATCCAGACCCGGGTCAGCCAGGCCTTGCAGAATCCTGCAAGATCCTGCACCCAAACCCGGGTCGATGCGAAGGATCCTGGAGGATGCTGCAGGATCCTGCGCCCAGACCCGGGTCAGTGCGACCCTGGTCCTGCAGGATCCTGCAAGATCGGGCGCTCTGGCTGACCCCCGTTTGCATCCACCCCCGTCTCAAGGCTCCCGACTGCCTTCGCCTTCCCCACCGCCGGCCCACTTCTCCCCCCACGCCCTCTCCCCCTCTGGCCTCCCGCCCCCCGCCGCGGCGGTCGGGGCCCGCCGGCCTTCTCGGGACGTCGCCCGGCTTGCGCCCGCCTCGCCCGCAGAATGGAAGGCGGGGGCGGGGAGGGAGAGCTCACGGCAACAAAGGGGGGGGGGCAGGAGGGGAGAGGAAGGGGGGGTGGAAGGAGTGCAGTGGGGGGAGGGGAGGAGAGGAAGGGGGGAGGGGAGGAGAGGAAGGGGGGGAGAGGTGAGAGGGGGGAGGAGGGGAGGGGAGAGGAGAAGGGGGAGGGGAGAGGAGAAGGGGGAGGGGAGAGGAGAAGGGGGAGGGGAGAGAAGAAGGGGGAGGGCGCACCACATCGGGCGGCAACACTGTCCAGGCCCCTGGGCGGGCCCGCCTCACAAAGCGGAGGGCGCCGCTTGCTAAACCAGGGTGGTGCTCAAACCCCACGGGGGCCCGTCTGCGCCACCGTGCGCAGGGAGGCACCAGCTTCAAGCGTGGGCTGCCATGCACGCCCCGGCGCCCTGCATGAAGAAACGCCGCACTGGGGCAGCCCCCGCAGCGGCCCTGAAGAGGCAGACAACGGAACATGTGCCAACTGTTCTCGCCGCGTGGAAGGAAGCTAGCACTGGTGCGCGCCCTCTGGAAGTCGAAGACGGTCTGGAGATAACCCATGGAGGGTGTTCCCTCTGGTCGCATTAGGGCTGAAAGCCCGCTGTGTAAGCGCCCAGGCCCCTTGTGCACGATGGAACCTGTCTATCGACAGTGCTGACTGTTCCTGTATCTGCTGAAGGGAAACACCACCTGGTTGGCGCACAAATAAAGTACTTGGACCCTGGCAATAAGAGTTATCGCTGGAGACTGGTTGCAGTGAGGTACGATGCTCCGCGGTCATTCGGTTTCCAACATCCTGCTGGGTGGTATGCGGCCCTTGGTCCCCGTTCCCTGGTGGAGCGGAGGGGGGCCTGGTGGCAGGGAGCGCTGCGTTGGGAGGGCGGATGCGCAGTAGCGCTGACCCGCCCAGCGGGTTGGGATGGTGGTGCTGGCCCTTCCCTGACCTATCATGCGCAGGTCCTCTCCTGGATTTGGCGGGGCGGCACCACTTTTATCGGTATGTCTGTCGGCCGTGTGGACGTTTTGTGGACGTTTTCAGAGCAACGTCTCTGTGGTGGATGAACGCAGTCGCCTTCACCCTTGAATAAGGCCCCAAGACCAAGGGGTCAAGGTCGTCAGCGGCGAAATCGTCCGTGTGCTGGAGCCAAAGGTCGTCGAAGTCATTGGAAAGTCGGGACCTGGTGGTTCCGCCGCGGGAGGTGGTCCCCCTTGTGCGCCAGTACTTTGTCCTCCGAGACTGGTGATGAACGGGTATAGTTCCATTTTGGAAAGCTCCGTCCTGGAAAATCCCGCATGCCTGTGGGAAAGAGGGAGCGTGCAGTGCCGTTGATCATACATGGCTACGGCCGTAGTATGTGAGAGCGCGGCGAACTTGCGGCACCATCTGACAGCGTCGGCGACATCTTATGGTATGTTGTGTAGCCTAGCCTCTGCGGAGGCGAGTTCGTCGGCATGTCGGTTGAAATTTCCCGCGATGGGCGTGATGCAGCCGTCATGAATACCTTGCTTTCCGAGGTGGCTTTCGACTTCCTGGATTTTGCAAAGATCGGGTTTGGCTTGAACCACCCTGTGGATCTTGTGCCAGAGGCCCGATTGCGGTCCGACGCGCTGAGGCGGTTTACCCTGGAGGAAGTCGTCGAACCCGTCTACCACAGCTAAATTGTCCACGAAGATGTGTACGCAGCGGCCACGGGGTGCAGCATGGCGAGAGCTTCGGCGCGTTGCGCGGATTGTGCGAGGCCGTGCAGTCGTGCGGAGTGGTTGAACTGGTGGTCCGGCCCGTAGCACACCCTGAAGCCCGCCCTGGCCAGGAGGGGGTGGGCCTGGTTGGAGCATGCACCGTCGGTGGCGGCGTAGACCCATCGGGTGCCGTATCGGTGTGTTCTTGGTAGTCGTCGTCGTCGTCGTCGTCGTCGTCGCCGTCGCCGTCGCCGTCGTCGTCGTCGCCGTCGTCGTCGTCGTCGTCGTCGTCGTCGTCGTCGTCGGCGTTCCCCTGGGTCTGTGTGGGGACAGGCTGTGGGAGCTCGTCCTCGGCCAGGGTGGCCTGAAAGCCAGGCAGGGTGGGATCCTCCTCCAGGAGGCCACCGTGCCTGGTGTGTGGTGGGAGTTCCTGCCATTGGTGCTCGGCACGTATGGTCTTGAGAGCGAGAGAGAGAGAGAGAGAGAGGGAGAGAGAGGATGGGTTGAGTAGGACTGGGGGGTCAGGTCTGCAGAACACCCTACACTGACGTCAAGGGGCGCAACCAGCCTGTTCGGACAAGCTGAACCCCACCCAGCGTCAAGCCCAAATTCCGGACATTAGCGAAAAATAGGACCTTGCACATCTTCGTCGGCTCAACTGGCGAGGCGCTTGACCACCTGGACGTCTTTTTTGTCGTCCTGCAGAGGAAGGCGCTCTCTGACTGTCGGCACTACAGTCGAAATCTCTGGTAAAGACGGGCGGTAAAGACGCAAGGGTCGTGGACGCCGAAATTAGCACTTGTTGGGCGGCGGACTGCCAACACCCTGAAGGGCTGGCCAATGAAAACTGCAAAGGACGGGCCGCAGAAGCAAGGACGCAAGGGTACCCCAAGGACATCCGTGCATCCTATCTGTGAGTTCTGACTGTGCTCAAAGGAGGGGCATGGAAGAAGAAAGGGAAGAAGGAAGCGGGAAGGCTGTAGAGCCGGCTCGCGCGGCCTGCGGACGCAGGCCTCTGGCGGGGGAGCCCGCGTATGCGCAGCGGCCCCCCCCCACCCCCATCCCTCCTCCCCGTCCTCCTCCCCCCTCCTGACATTCGTCTCGTCCTCCTGCCCCCTCTTTGCTCCTCACTCCCCTCCTCCTCTTCTCCTCCTCCTCCGTCCTTCTGTTTTCCCCTCCTCCTCCTCCTCTTCCTCCTCCTCCTCCTCCTTCTCCTCCTCCTCCTCCTCCTTCGTCTCGTCGTCGTCGTCCTCCTCATCCTCCTCTTCCTTTTCCTCATCCTCCCCATCCTCCCCCTCCCCCATCATCTTCCTCCCCGCGCTCGCAGCCTACCGATACGTGACGTGGCTGCCGACCCTAAGTCTAACAAGGAAGCAACGACAACGGGATGATCAGGAGCAGGAACAAAAATAGGAGCAGGAGGAGCAAGGGAGGCGGAGGGACCTGAAGGACGGCAACGACAAAGAAATCGGATCCAGCAATGTTGCCCGCGCTAGGGCGAAAGCGCCATTCTAAACGACGGGAGCAAAGCACCGATCATGAATGTGACCAGCGATGCAACGAGAGCATCGTTTTGAAGGGCTGAAGACCCCCCGATCGAAAAAGCATGTGTGAATTCTCAACTGCTGGCATCGCGTGTGGGCGTCTGGAAAACACCATTCTGCGGGAGGGGTGGGTAAAGGGTGGGGCGTTGTCATGGGGGGAGAGAGGAAACTAGCAGCACTCTGATCGAATAGTTGTACAGTCGGGCTTGTTTGGAGAGGACACAAGAGAGGACACAAGACCCTTTCGAGGGCCACATCGCAACAGGAATTTACGAAGCATGGGTCGCGAGACACAGGACACAAGGGTACCCTTGATTTGGCAGGGTCGACCTACTAATCTGGGCCGACTGTAGACAAGGAGAGATGAAGAAGGGAAGGAGGGATCAGGAGGAACATGAGGAGGAAGAACGGCGGCTCCCCTCCCACACGCCGCCGCAGCCTCTGCGACGCCACGCCGCCTTGGCCGGCACAGCTCCCATCCCATGCACTCCATGCACCCCTGCATCCCGGCGTCCCTTCTCCCCCCTCTCGCCCTCCTCCTCCTCCTCCTCCTCCTCCTCCTCCTCCTCCTCCTCCTCCTCTTCCTCCTCCTCCTCATCGCCTCCGTCCTCTGTCCTCCCTCCCCTCCCCTCCCCTCCCCTCCCCATCCCCCAGATCCTCCCTCTTCCCCACTCCCTTCGCCCTCCCCCCCCCCCTTCGGCCTGGGTATCGCGAGTATTCACTCTGCGCTACGCTCGGGAGGCGGTACACCCCTGCGTGTGCTAACCTGGCTGATGTGCGCCGTGGCCTCCTCCCCGCCGATCGACCCAGAAGAACCGCATCCGCACACACACTATGGCGTGGTTCAGCCTCAGCAGCAACAGGTGCGGAAGTCTACCATCGAACAACTCAAGCAATCTATCCTCATCATCGACAGGGCGCAGAAGAACAAACAGATGGCCAGCCTGCACTTCACTCTTCTGGCATACCCTGTGAGGTTGGTATCACTTGATGGCGAAAACCATGGCAACACAACGGCATCAGATCACCAGAAAGACAGCGCGGTGTGTCTCCTGGAGGATCACATGTCTGACGTGAGGATGAGCAAGCATGACGAACGATTTGCATCCAGATGACGGGCGCAATATTGACGGTGGTTGTCACAAACCTTGATGTTCTTGTCATCGGAAAAGCCCAGCAGCAACACGATCACTCCGTCTGGCACGCGGAAACGAATGCCAACTACAAGGCGGACCAATTTGTGCAGTGCATAGCCGTACGGCTGAGTGAACTCATCTCTTCAGACAGGAAGTAACACAAGCCCATCGACATGATGGAGATCTATGCGGCAAGAATCTCTGTCGGGTCGGGACCGACCATTGCACCGACTGTAAGAATGTCTCGCAGCTCGTGGCAGGAAGAACGTTTGTCTGGTCGCATCCGTCCCTTCATTCACTTACAGACGAAGGTGATGATAGTAGACGGCCTCACCAAAGGGGCACCTTCAAGCTCTTCATGGAATACAGCCAACCCGTATCATAGGGACGCATGATAAGGATGCAAGGGCCTTGGAAGGCCATGTCGACACTTTGCGAGCGGGGCGCGGCCAGCGAAAACGGCCAAGGATGGGCCCACGGGAAAGGACGCAAGGGTACACTTGGAAAGTCGCTCATCCTTTCTACGCGGGTCGACTATATCTGACATAAGGAACGTGGCCGCTATGACCGCCCCAAGGCAGGATCACCACGATGAGGGCCATCGTCTATCCAAAGATCACTTTCGACGAGTCCGACCTGCAGGTCTTGCAGGCATGACAGCCACCTGGCTGTCCCTCCTACATGTTCGTCCCATTAAGAGAAGCATATTATTTGCCTGAGGGTCGCCATTCAAGCGAAACACCTGTTCCCAAACTAGAGTTCGAAAAAATTACGACCCCCCGATTTGCATGGATAGCTGTGAGAACCGGGGGGCCGGTACGAGAACGAGTTCATGTAGTGCGTGGCTCCGTGAGCTTCATCGAAAGCACAAGACAAATCGGGAAGAACGTTTCACATCGAGACGTTGTTCCGTCCTGGCAGCGGATCCAATCATTACGCAATCTGCGATCATTACGAAAGAGGACAGAGAATCGCATCTCCGCTCCAGACCCCTCCAGCCTCCTCCTCCTCCTCCTCCTCCTATCTCCTCCTCCTCCATGCACACTCCCTCTTCTCTCCTTCCTCCCCCTCTCACCCTCCTCCTAGCTGGAGCGGTTGTTTCAATCGCGCAGCTTGCAACCGATCCGGGTGCCCCGACTGCTAACTTTCACACGGCTGAGGCCTCTGGGCCAAGCCGTTCCACCCAGGTAAGACGCGTGCTTGCCCAAGTTGACAGATTTCGCAGACAGACGCGGAGCGATCTGCTGGAGGGCTCACGTCCAACTGGCAACAGCGGACGGCCTCACTGCCAGCCGCATGGAGGCCGTCCGCTGGACCCCTGCTGCTCCTGTTCCCGCTCCTGCTCCTGCTCTAGCTCCTCCTCCTCCTCCTCCTCCTCCACGTCCTGACCATCCTGTGCCACCAGTGTCCCTGCTTCTGTTGCTCCTCTTCGTACCTCTTCCCCCCTCATCATCACCATCCGTTTCCTGGAAAGGCTGGCGCGACGGTCTGGGCAACCAATCGCCAATTGCCACCGCCTGACCATCTCCAACATCGCGGTGACACAGCAATATTCCATGACTACCCTACGCCCCGGGACTAGCCCAGCCCGCCCAGCCCTCATCCTCCCCAATCTCCTCGTTCCCCCCACTCGCTTCCTCCCGATCCTGCGAACCGCTAGGCCCCGTGAGCCCCACCTGCTGGGCCCAGCGCTGGTCGGCGGCCGCGGTTTCCGTGCCCATGACGCTGAAGCGCGGGGCCCAGGCAAAAGCCCAGACACCCCAGAGAGTCCAAAGCCTCCCAGAAGAAGGGTTCTGGGTCACCTAACTTTGCGCATCGCGACCAGCGGTGTGCGACGCCTGGTTATATACGCGCCCTCGCCCTGAAGGAAGGTATCTTTGGAAATCTGCCCACGATCTGACGCAGCTTGACTAATATTTTCGCGCCCCTGCGGGTGACCCAGGGTTGCGGTCTCCACTATCGAGACTGACCTCCTCCATTCTGAAGCCGCAACCATCTATCATAGGAGGTCTTGGAGTCCAAAACGACGGCGCGTCCGCGCGGGCGCACCGCGCGCAGGGGCCACGCGGCAGGAGCCTTTCCTGAGCCTGAAAACCAGCCCCGACGAGAAAGTGCATGATGATGGTGCGGATGCTGATGCTGATGGCGATGCTGATAATGATTATGAACCTGATGATGAAGTATGTGATCACGACGATGGCCAGACTCTATCTTCAACGCACCTGAACCAAAGAGAACGTTTCTGTTGTCAACAAATTCGAATTTCTTTTCAGTAGAGAGGCGCCTCGACCGCTGCACAACGACCCCTTTGAATATTAATAACGACACAAGGTGGCACGAGGGCGGGCGCGCTTGAATTGGAGCGGAGCCCGAGCGGCCAAAAAACGGAGCAGACCAGGATGACACAAACATCTGCATAGGTCTGTGATCCCCCCGATGGCAAGGCTCTATCTTCAGCGAAGCTGAAACAAAGAACGTGTATGTTGTGAACAAGCAGCGGAATGGGCGCGAGCACTGTCAGACGGGAAAACAACCACACACGGACCACATATGTTCAGGCATTTGTGGATTGGACTGGCAAGCGAATTGCTGGACTCACTCTCACCGAACCTCGGTCAAATCAAACGACCCCACGAACGCAACGGGACGATATCCAGCCCGCAAGACGGCGGAAAACGATGGCGCCAGCCAGAAGCGAACCACACATCCACATGCTGTGCCCAAGCGCCGCTGACATCATTGGATTTCGCTATCTCTCCAGCCCCGAAGCCGACCTCGACCAGCGCTTGCCCAAGCGCCTGGCGGCAAATGCGGGCAAGTCATGGCGAGCCCACGCAAAGCTGCATGAACTTCGGGTCGCTCTTGCCGAGAAAGCTAGGCATCGGCGGGGCCACCTGCTCGCCGAAGATGCGCCCGATCCGGCTCTCTACCACCTCGGACCAAGCCGCGACGCGCTCGTCCACCTTCTCGAGCCCGGCGAGGTAGCGCGCGCGCCTGGAGTGCCCGGCCGCACTCTGGGCGCCAGCGTGGCGCAGCCGCGCCCGCAACTCCTTCAGGCCCATGCGCTCCACGGCGGCCGCGCGCGAGGCTGCAGAGTGCCGTAGCTGGGCGCCATATCGGGCGCCCCGGGTAACGGCGACAGGCGGCAGCCGAACTCGCCGTTCAACTTCGCGGCGTTGGCTGACCAGAGGGGCTCGCCAGCTGGCCGGGCCGCGCGAACCTGCCCCGGGAAGTGGGCCCCAGCCGCCGCGCCAAGGCTTGGCGCGGCGACGCTTGAAGCGTCGCCGCGCAGTGGCGCCCCCTCGTCGCGGGCCAGCGTCTAGCTCTGCGCAGCGCCCTCGATCGGCCGCAGCAGCAGCAGAGCTCAGCGCGGGATAATATCCCCGCGCCCTGGCCACGACAGGTCTGACTTGTCGACGGCAATGCGGATCGGCCTTTCTCATGGCATTCGACATGAGATGCAACGGCCCCCGAGCGCGTGAAGCTCGCATCTTGTGGCGGGCGCCGAAGGGCAGGGCGCGCCCCTCCAGCCTCGGGATGTTCCCAGGGCGGGCCCAGCGCCCGAAGCTCGCGTTCTGCCGCGAGCCCAAGGGGAGGGCGATGTCCGAGCCGACGGTCTCGAAATCACGCTAAGGACGGGTCCGCGCGGAGCTCGCGTCGCCCTGGGGGTTGCGAGCGCGAAATCCCGAGCGTCGATCGCGCCCTTGACGCCGCGCCGCCAGCGCTCGCGAACGCGAGCGGCGTCCAGCGCCAGGCCCTCGTCGACCCTGCGCTTCGTCGCCCCGTCGCCGCCGAACAAGCCCCCGCGTGGGTCGCGGTCGCCCGCGCTGGCGTCTGCGGGGTAAACCGCGCCGTCGACGGGGCGCTTCGCGCCGCAATGGGCAAACGGCGCAAAAGCAGCAGCGACGCGCGGCTCGCGGGCCAGCTCGGGCCGCAAGCGCCAGCGGCTGTCGCCAACTTTCTCTATGAAGCGGTAGGTCGACTGGAAGATGCGGAGGAGCGGCCGCCGCAGAAGCGCCGCCCAGCGGAAGTGGCCGACGACTCGCCAACTCCGAACCCGAGGCGAACCGCTGCCAAGCCTGACATAGAACATCCTGGCGGATCTTACACCTCCACGATCGCCCGAGCGAGATGCACCCGCGCTCTCTGTCGAAGACCAGGCGCGCGAACTTCTGCTCGCGAGAAGGAATCTCCACATTCTTGCACTTGAGGCCCGCGTTATTGAAGGCTCCGTGCAAAGACTCCAGCTGCGCGACCACCTCGTCGCTCTTCGACCCGATGATCGCGACGCCGTCGACGCGGGCGGCAGCGACGGGCTGGTCGCCGCCCTGTCGCGCGCCAGCCTGGGGCCATCAAAGCGTGACAAGCCGATCGCCCCGAGCACCCCCTCAACGGCGCGCTGGCGCAACGGGGGAACTCCAGCCCCACCCCGATGGCAGCACTTTGAAGCGCGGTGAACATCTGCAGGTAACATGCGACTGAGACCGCCAAAGGGAAGCGCGTCAGCAAGGGCGCCTCGAACTACGCCAAGAAGAAGCATCAGCTCGCCAAGTCCTGGCGGGGCCAAAGAAAGAAAATAACGCGGCCTCGATATCGCGCTGGCCTAAATGCAGATGGCTGTCAAGGCGCGCTCGGGGACTCTGCTGGCTACCCGCCGCCGGCAGCTCGGCGACATCAGGGCCGAAGAACATGCGATTGCCCCTGCGCATCTAGAACCGCGCGCCCCCTGCCGCTGCCGTCCCGCTCGGGGGCGAAGAACGGCGCCAACGCGCGTTTTCGCTCTGCGGTGAAATAGACCATGCCCGCTTTGAACAAGTCGCGCACGCACTTGGCGCAGAGTCTCGGCGAAACCTTCGACCGGGCGTCGAAGTTCGAAGATGCACCGGAATGCCGCCCACCGCGAGGGCGCGAAGGATGTCTCTCCCAGTTCTGCCGCAGATCATGCACGGACTCCGAAAACATCTGGACTGGCTCGCGCACCCCCGGATCCGAAAGGACCGCGGGGCTTCCTCCGGTGAACGCAACTGCCTTCGCTGGGGACTGGTCGCGCCCGGGCGCGCAACCGCGCAGCTCTAGATAAGCTGGCGCGGGGCATATGCTTGGCGCGCCGAACGGCGAGGCGCAGTCGCGCGGCGAGCCGGCGCCAGCGAGCTGACCTGCCGAGAGCTCACCGAAACTGCCGCCACCCACCCGCCCACGCAGGAAGTTGAGCGCCGACGCCGCCCCGCAAGGCCACAGCTCGACGGTCAGCTGTTGACGGCCCCGGCTCCGTCGCTCACGAGAATTTGATAAACGCGCAGAATGGTCGCGCCGCTCGAAGCGCGCAGTCATCGTCCAGCGGGATCGGCAGGACGCCCCGCTGGACCACTATCGGGAGGAGCCCAGCAGGAGCCATCGGGAGGAGCTGTCGCAACCCTCCCCGCTGGCGGCGCCACCGCGGCCTCGCCCTTCCGGGCCAGCCTTCGATGCAGCCGCAAGCTGCTCCTACAACCTGTCAATATCGGCTCAGCTGGTCGTAGGTGAGCACAAGGTGCATGCTGCGGCAGCACAGCTCATAGACCGACGCGTCCTGGTCAGAACTCGCGAGCCTCGTCTCGGCCTTGAGCTTCACGTGCCGCGAACGGAAAGTCACGCCGTTCTCGCGGATGAACCCGCACACCCACGTGACCGTCCCTGGCCCGCTGACGGGGAAGAAATCCCACTGGGTCTCCGTGAGATCGGAGACGGCCTCCCGCGCGCCCAGGAGCATCCTGTGCGCGGAGATGCGGAGCGCCAGCCCACGGGCGCCCAGCTCGTCCCCACCGTCGGGCGGGAGGGCGCGCAACAGCATACTGCGGGCATCTGCTTTGCTCAAGCGGAACCCCAAGCAAATCACGAACACATCGGAATCCTTGTCGCCAGCGCTGCCCTTGCCGTGCCCGTCGCTGGCGGCGAGGCTCCATTCCGAGGGCGCGGGGTCGGGCAGCTTCCCGCGCCCGTGCGCCCACTCACTCGGAATTTCCATCGAACCCGAGCCTGATGCGGAGGGTGTCGCGTGAGTCGGGGCGCGCAAACATGGATTGACGATTAGCGGCATGGATTAGCGATTCATGGATTTGGCGCGCGGTCGCCAAATCCACGCCCACTTGATCCATGTTTGCGATCACCTGAATATGCTGGCGGCGACAGTCTCTCCTCCTAAGGTTCTGCCTCCCCAGCGAGAGCGCTGTCAGGCCGTCCTCGATTACTTCGTCGCGCGACCGCCCCGAAACAAAGTGCATCTGCAAACATAACTCCGCGACGGTCATCTGCCAGTCGCGCCCGTCGACCGCTAAGCCAATTGGGTTGGCGCCCTCGCAATACGCCACCTGCCCTTCATAGGTCATGTTGTGTGGCAAGACGAGCCGCAACGCCTGGTCCGTCAGCTGTGCTGGTGCACGTATGCATCCCCATCGGGCGTCGCCATGTACCACAAGCGACCAGCCTCCGAAACCCCGTCCGACGCCGCCACGCCCGTCACGCCCATGCATTCCGCCTCCGTACACTCTGGTCTGGAATGACTCCCCAGCGCGCCACTGGATCTCGAACCGCTGCCCCGCTCTGACGCTGAAAGGCATACCCACCGAGGAAGAAACCAAGCGATGCGCACACGACCGCGAGCACCAGAGCGCTCCAGCGGAGCGATCCGATCAGCTGCAGCGCGAACGCGCAGTCGTTCTCGTTGCCGAGCGTGCCATGCAGGTAATTAGTCCCAGCCAGACTCCGAGACCGCCCAGCTGCCCAGGCGGGCGGCGCCAGCAGCGATCGCAGCCCAAACATGAAGCGGCCGATGAATTCGCTTGTGCTTTCATTGGAGCGGAGCCCGAACGGCCAAGAAACGGAACAGACCAGGACGACACAAACATCTGCATATGGTGATCATGATGTAGAGGTGGAGCAAGTGGGGGTGGAAATTTCAGATGCAAGATGGACCGACCGCCGAGCGGCATCCAAGAGACCTCCGACGGGCCTATGCCCGCGACCCGGGTGGCCAGACGGACCGCATGCCGCTGGCTATCATCTCCAATGCGGCGAACGTCCGCTGGAACGGTGAGCGCCCCAAGGGCCTTCGACAAGCTCAGTGTCCGGGAGGGCTGGATCGGAGATGGACCTGCTGCCATGCCATAAGCTCGAGGTATGGGAAAATGTGGAAGACTGGAGCGCAAAGCGCGAGCTAAACCGTGTTTTCCGTTTTGGTTGTGTTTTCGTTTTCCCTCGTTCTGCCTTCGTTCCGCCTTTGCTACAGGCACTGTGGCGGGCTGGGACGAAGACCATTAGATACTTTGAAACAGGAAGGCGCCTAAGAAGTACATTGGAATAGAAGGGCAGACCCCTAAAAACAGACTTCCAACGAGCAATGGGTAATTCGGGATCTATGAAAGCCCGCGGGTCTGGATGACGTATCTGGCGCAGCAGCGGTTCCAAAGTGTTCTGGAACGCTCCGCAACGCTCTGGGGCGATTTACCTCAGAACGAGGTCCAAAGCGCTGGGGTCTCCAAACCGTCTGATGACAGACCGACCCATGACCTCGAATAATTACCCAAAGACCTCACCAAGCGGCCCGTCGCCCGACGGTTGTGGGACCCTGTAGGCCCCAGGGGCTCGAGGTATGCTCGAAGAACGACCAAACCCAAAACTACCCGCCCCCTCCAAATCACCCAAGACGCCTCCTAGATGGGGTCCGAGTAGATGGGGCCGGAGGATCGCGCCGCATCGCCACTACATCGCTGATGCATCGCCGATGCATAGACGATGCATCGGCGACGTCGGCGATGCATCGGCGACGTCCGCGTGGAGCAAGTCGGGCTCCACATCGAGCCGCATTGCCGATGTATCGGCGATACGGCGCGATCCTCCGACCCCATCTACTCCGACCCCATCTGGGAGACCTAGACCTTGACTCGCCTGATGGCACGGTCACCTGACTGTTTTGGGACCAACACCCGAAGCCCCAACGCGGCTCTGGCACCGGAGATGCGAGGAAGTCAAAGAAGTAGCAAGCTACGATTGCGCACTTTGCACAGCCACCGCAGGACTGGCACCCTAGACAGCCCGACGCAGGCAGGGCCCTCCTGCCAGTGCGCTGCTCTGGATGCTCCGCTGGCAGGGGAAATGCATGCCTCGCTGACGCATCGGCGATGCGGCTCGACGTGGAGCCCGATTTGCTCCGCGCCGACGTCTCCGATGCATCGGCGATGCATCAGCGATGCGGCGTAATCCTCCGACCCCATCTGCGCGGACCCCATCTAGGAGGCCTCTAAACTAATACCGCCCCCCCCGCCCCCGTCACCAGAGGAAGTTATGACGCATCCGGCAGCAGGGCGGTACATCGCTGTCGACACATCGGCGCTGCGAAACCTTATCCCGTTTTGCGAACCACGGCTCCGCTGGCAGGGGAAATGCACGTGAGCAACGAGAAGTATCGGGTCTCGCGCGAGACGGCACAGCGACCCTACGCCGCGGCTTACGCGGGCCGCCAGCGCGGCACGCCACACTGGAGGTGCGGGCGCGTACGCGCGCCCTTCTGCTGGCGGCTTGCGCGCACATGTCGGCACAGTCGACCCTGCTTTCTGCCGTCGCGCATGTGCCACACGCAGTGCAGCGGCATCATGCTGGCCTCCCGTGCTCGTGACCCCCGCCCGGCTCCCGACGTGCGCAAGTTGGCAGGGCGCGCCCATCCATCCCAGAAGCCCCTGCGACGCGCTACGACTGGCCTGGGGCTCGAGCTGCCTACATCCCCAGGAAGGTTTTTTTCCTCCTGCCGTCACAGCATGTAAAACCCAACGGGTCCAATTGGATCCTTTTACTGGTGTGCGATAGTTTCGTGGATCCTATCTCTGCGCTTGGCGGATCCAATTTCCTGTGTGTGAGAGAAAAACAACGGATTGTTTTTGGTTGTAATGCGTTTACACTGGTAACAGCTAACATCCTGGACCCAGGAGCAATTGGATCCACGGGGTACTGCGCCTTAAGCATAATGCTATAATTAGCTGGGGATTGAATTTCCTCACATCATCATCATCATCATCATCATCATCATCATCATCATCATCATCATCATCATCATCATCATCATCATCATCATCATCATCATCATCATCATCATCATCATCATCATCATCATCATCATCATCATCATTTCCATCACCACCACCACCACCACCACCACCACCACCACCACCACTACCACCACCACCACCAACTCGAGCGTCACTGCGGGCTCTCGAAAGCTCGATTGTCATTGTGGGCCCCGCCCACTCCCATAACTCCCTCCACAACTTTGGGTGGCTCGACCGCCACAGCGGGCAAACATCCACTCATGTCCCCCACGATAATGGTAAGCTCGAGCGTCACCGCGGGCACACGCGTGGCCCTTCGAGCTCAAGAGGAAAAAACTTTCGGCCTGCGGAAGTGCTTGGCTGATTCTCGCTGTGGTCGCGAATGGGTCCTAGGTCCTGGACGGACATGTTGCCAAGCGCCAAATGCGGAGGACGCAAGCAGACACATTCCAGCTGGCCGCTAGGTGTAATGGCATGATTCCCGCTTCGGGTGCGAGAGGTCCAGGGTCAGTTTCCTGCCTGCCTCTCGGACGTGTCGAAAGACTTCTACTAGATTTCGAGCCTCAGCGGCAACGTAACGCTCAGCGAATACACTTACGCATCTACACAGGTCTGACACTGAGAAGCATGTGGTACCCCAGCGCTGAACGTTCGCACAAGAAAAAAACATCATCCTCGGCGGCGCCCGCCTGGCAATGCTGCGCCGATCAGAAAGATTCCCCGAATCGTCATGTAGGCCGGCGCGAGATCGAAGATGGCCGGCGGGAGCCGCTTGGGAAGCGAGGGTAGCGGCGGCGGCTGGGGCGAAACCGGCGCCCCCCCCAGTGTGGCCGCAAAGGGGCCTGGTAACGTTGAGCCCCGGCCCCCCGCCCTCATGGCCAACATCGGGCTCGGTTGCCGATTTGAAAAAATAGAAATACCAAACGGCGTATGGACCCGAAAATGAGCAAACCACACGGAGCTTCCTCTGGAAAAGCCTACTATCGGGTTTGCCCCCAAGACGTCCCGAAAGGTTGACTGGCCAGCCAAAAAGAGGCCCACTTGCATGGCGTGCCAACAAATACTTTTGGGTCCTGTTCGACGGACCCGAAAATGAGCCTCACGTTGCAAGCTTTCTGAAAAAACACTTTGTCGGCGGATCCCGTGCTCTGCTTCCCGTGGTCTGGAACGCGCGCCAAATTTGTCACGCTCGCGCTCGAACGCGGATTCTGCCCAGGTCCCCGAGGCTGGTGCATGATTTCCTTATTTCAGCGACCTTGCAATCATGCGGCTGCGCTGCATCCGCACAGAGCCGTGCTTCGCAAAACGGAAGAAAATTTCGGAGCGCCGATGTATCGACAACGATGTACCGCCCTGCTGCCGGATGCGTCATAACTTCCTCTGGTGACGGGGGCGGGGGCGGTACTAGTTTAGAGGCCTCCTAGATGGGGTCCGCGCAGATGGGGTCGGAGGATTGCGCCGCATCGCCGATGCATCGCCGATGCATCGGCGACGTCGGCGCGGAGCAAGTCGGGCTCCACGTCGAGCCGCATCGCCGATGCGTCAGCGAGGCATCGGCGATGCGGCGCGATCCTCCGACCCCATCTACTCCGACTCCATTCGGGATGCCTAGATACTTGCTGGGCGTTGCCTCATGTTCGGCGGCAAGCGAGGGGGGGAAGTGCGAAGGAGAATGCCTTCTCAGAAGGCGGCGGGACTTCTCAGAAGCCCTCACGCCTTCTGAGAAGTTTTCTGTATCTTCGGGGAAAGCTAAAAAACTTCTCAGAAGGCCGGGGGACTTCCGAGCCTTCTGAGAAGGCCCGCCTCTTCTCGCTTCCCCCCCTCGCTCGCCGCCGACATGTGGGGGCGATGCAACGGAGGCCAGTCATTAGAAACCTTCCACAAGAAACCCAACCCTGGTACCCCAGGACGCCCATTGAATTTTGGTGTGGGAGCGCCGCGCTCTCCATCGCAAAACCATCGAAACCCAAGAAACCCAGGGCACCCTGGAGGCGAGCAGGGTGTTTGTTGGCATGGGCCCCCACTGTAGATGTAGGGGCGAGGAAACGTGCACCGCCCGTGCCTTTTGTGGGCCCCAGAGGGCACCCTCAGGGCCCCATACGGTGCACGAAAGGTGCGCGGACAGAGACGGCGGCGAAATCCGAACCCTACCCTCGCCGATCAACGATTCGGGCAGCTCGATGTGCGGCTGGGGTAGGGTTTGGAATCCGTAAACCACGCGGCGGAATCCGAACCCTACCCCCGCCTCCCATCGGCTCAGGGGAATCGATGGTTGGAGGGGGTGGGGTTGCAAGGGACCCAGAAAGAAGGAAACGTATGCATCCAGCTGGGTTCGTGCCTGGGATAATCCCCCCTCTCGGGGGCGACGATGGGGGCGAATAGCCTAGGGGAGAGCAAGACATGGAGTCAAGGACGCCGATGATCCATGCATTTGGCGCGCCTCCCCCGGTGAATACGTGCAATGCCCGCCCCTGGGCTACTCGCCCCCATCGTCGCCTCCGACCCTCTACGTACGTACCCCCGACGAACTTGCCTCCCAAGACCAGGGACCCCCATCGGCACCCGAGCGCGCGGCATTGGGGGCCGGGCCTGCCAAGCCCGCGGACGCCGCGGGCGCCGAGGAGCTGGAGGCGCCTGGGCGCTGGCCCGGCGGAGGCACCAGCGGCTGCTGGAGCAGCTCGTCGGACGAGCTGCTCCAGCACGAGGGCGAGCCTCGTCCTCGTCCGTCCGTCCTCTTTCGAGCTTGGAGCTGGTTCGTCGCCAGGACCGAGACCATCGTGGCGCTCCTCCTCCTCCTCCTCCTCCTCCTCCAGCGAGGGGGGGCGCCTCGTCCTGGCCGGACGGCGCGCAACGCGTCTGCGGCCGCGGACAAATGTTGGCCACCGGGCGGCGGGCGGGCACAGGCGCCTCACCCGGGAGGTGACACGCCGGAGCCAGGCGGGACGCATCGCTGGGGGTGGACGACGCGCCCGCGGGGACGCACCCGACAGGTGCACACAGAGGTGGGAAGAAGCTGGGGCACGCCCGCAGCGGCCAGGCGCACCACCTGGGGAGGATGGCGCGTCTGGGGGGCAGGAAGCTCGCGCACCCCCTGGGGTGGGGGGCGCGCCGCGAACATGCACCTAACTGGTGCACAGACAGTCGGAACAGAAGCGGGGCACCTCTTGGGATGGAAGGCACCGCGCGGGGCGTACCCCCTGGGAGGGGGTCGCGCTCAGTGAGAGAAACAAAGAGGGAGAAAGAGAAGGAGAGAAAGGGAGATTGACAGAAGAAGGGATAGAAAGACAGAAAGAGAGAAAGAGACAGAGAGACGGCACGCCTTCGAACCACGCGGGTCCGGGCGCCGTGCGGCCAGCCGCGCGAGCTCCCCGCGCTCGGGGCCGGCGCACCACGAAATTCAGGAGGGACTGCTGCATTGAGGCGGCCCCTGGCGCGCGCCTAGGCGCACGACAAGCTCGAAAGGCAGAGCGGCCCCTAGCGGCGCGCGGCGCGCGGCCACTGGGGTGACTCACGAGAAAGGGGACCTCCCCGTCGCTCGGACGCCCATTCCCTGTGCTTTTTTTCGGTTTCGTGCGTGGTTTTTCGCAGGATGATCTGGGATGCTCCTTAATAGTCCCCGCCGAGAAAAAGTGCACACGTCCGAGCGATACCAAGGGAACCAAGGGCTGGAGGACGCCGTGGCGTGACGCCTCCCCAGTCCTGGCGGTCCCCCTGCACGGCACCACCCCATGCGGAGGGTGTTCGGCGAAGCGCTGCCAGCGGGGCAGCGTCGCCATGGCAAGGCGCAAGTTTGTGGTGAAACGCGCTAGGGTGGCCCGTTGCCTAGCTCGACTCGCCGCTACACGCAGCGGCGTGCGCAGCAAGAGCTGGTGGATGGCATGGTGCGGTGCCCTGGCGGCGGAGGCGGTGACTGAAGGAAGCGGCGTGGAGCCGAAAGAGAGGTCGGCGGCTTCTCCATCCATGGCGGACGGGGAGCGGCCGTAGCCAGTGTCACGGCTGGACGGGGATCCCGAGGAACATCATCCACGAGGGACAGGGTGCCTGAGACGAGGGACAGGGTGCCTGGGACGCCCTCACGCACGAGATGAGACTGGCGGCTCAGCCTGAGCCCCAGGAGGAACAAGAAGGGCAAGCTGGGGCTCGGCGAGGGGATCGGTGCAGGAGCTCAGGGCCCATGGAGGACCAGAGCTGGCGGGCTGGCCTGAGGCGGCGGCCACGGAAGCAGTGGACGGAAGGTCGACGGCGCCTCCGTCCTTGGCGGGCGCGGGGTGAAACGGGCACAGGCGCCTCCCTCACCCAGAGAGGCCCGAAGCCAGAAGGGGGCAGGGTACCGCCACCCAAGAGGACAAAGAGACAGAGACGGAGAGAGAGAGAGAGAGAGAGAGAGACCATCCCACCCCCACGCAAATATGATGATGGTATCCTCCCCTACTCTTCAAAAGTTCCGTCTACCCTCACCCTCCATGGTCTCGGAGACGAGGGCGAGAAGGACAAGCAGAAAGGAGGAGAGGGGAAATAAGGGAGGATTAGAACGAAGAGTGAGGGAGGGGGCAGGGGAGGAAAGGTGGGGGAGGGGGGAGGGAGGGGACGACCGTCCAGGGGAGGAGGGAGGATTCCTTCCACGGGCAAATGAAGGAGCAAGATGGATGAGGGGGTAATGCGCCGAACACGAACGAGGCGCCGTGAAGAGACTGAGTGAGGCCTAGGCCAGCGACGGCGACAAATACATCTTAAGATGACGGGAGGAAAGGCAGGAAGGTGGGATGTCATAAGGCAGTGAAGAAGAGCATGAGCTCAGAGAAGGCGCTGCCGAATTCTGAAGCGATGATGTCCCAGACCTGCTCGTAGAGGTCCTGCCGGTCGCGCCCGCCCTCACTCCACCGCCGATCAGGGGCCCCCCCGCAGACTGGAAGAGAAAAAAAAACCTCCTCTCCCCTCCTCCTCCGTTCCCTCGTTCCGTCCCCCCTCCCCCCACGCCCTTCCCTTTTCCTCCTCTGAGCACATCAGGCCGCGGTCTGGAAGGCCAACATAATCCCGACTCCATTGGAAGAGATGTAAACTCCTCCCTTCTCTCTTCCTCCGTTCCCTCGACCACCAACCCCCTCCCCTCTTCCTCCTCTGAACGCCTCAGGCTGCGGTCGAGGAGACCGAGAGATTCCTGGCTCTACGGCCCAGCAGCGATGCCACGACATGTGAGTGGTGGCCCAGCGCCGTGCTGGGGCATACTCTCCCCAGGCACAAGTATATCGTCGACATCGAGGGCACTGTCGCCACTGTCAGCTCTATCATCATCGCCTCCATTTGATGGTCCGCGCGGATTTCGTAGATCTACGCTGACCCCCCTCCCTGGCGCACGGAGCGCGCCAGGAGCGGCGTCGGAGGCGCCGCCAGGGGGTCCCAGCACAGATCCAAGAAAGTTCGCGCGGAACACCGGAAGTTTATGTTTATGCCGTTTTTTCCCCTTCGATCCGTGTCAACAACATCATCGATTTCAGCATCAACGTGAGAACCCTCGCATCCAGTGCTGTCGCTTGTCTCCGCTGGGGCGACGTCCGCAGCACAAACGAGCATGTGTTGTGCATGGACCACGCATGTGTTGTGCATGGACCACACCCACAAAACAAATCAACAAGCATGTGTTGTGCATGGACCACGCTGGAGCTGTTGATACCCGCGAAGCTCTCTGCGATGCTATATATCTGCGAATCGAGGGCGCCAAAGTCCACAAACTCTTGCCGGATGATCTGTCCGTCGCCGTTGTGGTCCAGATCCTTGCCGGGTGCACGAGAGAAGCCACTCGTCCAAAATCCCGAGCCGCCAGAAGGCGCAAAACTATGAAGGCCTGCCCGAACCTATCGTCCCCACTTGCCAGTGGAAAAAAGGTACCGTGCCGAAATATGAGTTCCGAAAACTGGAGCCCCTCATGAGCCCAAAAAGGTCCTCATAAAAGCGTCGGATTCAAGTGTTTGAAACAATTAACGAAGAACCACTCACGCGTAACAGATGGTTTGGACTCCCCTCCCCCCTCCTCCCTCCCCCAAATGCAATGTTAGTTTCGGATCTTTGAGTGTCCGAGCGGTAGTGCGTAAACGTGCCAACTTTGAATTGTAGGGGAGGGGGGAGTGTTGCTTAGATGTTTCCCCCAGCCGCTGCAGCAGCGCCTGGCAAGCGGACAAGCCCGCATGCAGGACTGCTGGGGTCGCCCGCTGGGCTCCTGGCGGACAGCTGCGCCCTGGTCGAGCACGGGAGCAGACTGGCCGCGCGCGCGCCGAGTCCGCAGCCCCGGAGCCCGAGAGGGTCAGAAGGGGAGAGCTCAGGTAAGTGGCGACATCCGACCCCTGGAGTCGGGGCGCAGACGAGAGGACTCGCGACAGGACACGAGACTCTTCCGACGGTAACATGGCCTCTAACAAGGGTACCCTTAGTCCGAACACGCAGAGGACATGAGAAGGGATGGACAGGACACAAGGAGTACCCTTGTTTTTGCAGGGTCGACCTGCCAATGCGCCCCGACTGTACACCCACCAGCCATGGATTCTACTGAGTCGATGGGAGGCAGGGGTACGGTTCGGATTTCGCCACATGTGCTCATGTGCTTTGCACTCAGCTTTGTCTCTCTCTCTCTCTCTCTCTCTCTCTCTCTCTTCGATGAATCATTCCGAGCCTGACCCCCGCCGCCCATCGAGCTGCCGTAATCGTTGATCGGCGAGGGTAGGGTCTGGATTTCGCCGCCGAACTGACGCAAATCGGACGCGAAACGCGACGGCGATAAAGAGAAAGCAGGTGATGATGCGACGCTCGGCTTCGCAAGGTTGCGTGCTCGTACAAAAAGGCAAGCCGGTGGGTGGCGCATGGGACCTCACGAGGATCCTTATGCCACCACCAGCATAGCCTCCAAAGGTGAATAGATCGGGGCCCGATCCCCTGTGGGGTCCCCGAAGAAGGCGCCCCTGAGAGTGCCTCCTGCGCTCCAAGGAGGGAAGAGGGGGGGGAGCAGGACGCTGCTGGCGCGGCGCGTCCGCCTCCCAACGGAGGGCCCCCCCGCGCGGGGCGGCATCTTGCGAGGCGCCTGAATTATCCTGTCCAGCACGTCGGGGGACAGCTCCTGCTGGGCTGAGCCCTCCTTCCCCTCCTTCCTTCGTGCCCTCTGTTCCCCACCTCTCCTGGAGCCCACCCATCGCTCATCCTCGTCTTGCCCCCTGCTCCCCACCCCGGACCCCCCGGCTCCCTCTGCCTCCTTCCCCCTCCCGCCCGTCTCCTGTTCCTCTGCGAGCGGGGTTGTAGTGTGGCCAAGTGGGCTGCTGTGTGGCCCTGCGGCCCTGTCTACAGCCAGTTGGGTTTTACCGTGGCCATGCCCTGCCGAATAATCCAAGATGCCATGGCAAGAATTCGCAAATCAATTTCAGGCTGTTGATCGCCCGTCAAGGTTCACACTTGCTGCCCGGGAAGTTGTGGAAAAATGGAGACCATCCGAATACGTGCTTAAAGCGATTTCCTTAAACAACTTGTCTGGAGTGGTGATATCTACAGATATATACACATATATATGCATATAAATATATACATATATATAGCTCGTTGTCTATTCATTAGTGTGCATATAGATAGATAGATAGATAGATCGACAGATATATAGATAGATATATAGACAGACAGACAGACAGACAGACATATAGATAGATAGATAGATAGATAGATAGATAGATAGATAGATAGATAGTTAGATACATATATATAGATATATATATATAGATAGATAGATAGATAGATAGATAGATAGATAGATATATAAATCTATAGATATATGCAATGTAGATCTGTACACGTAAATGCATATATCCGACACCGTGCCGCTGCGCAAGAAGTGCGCGTGTCCTCAGGTCCTGAGCCCAAACCTCTAAGCCTCAGTCCTGACTCTAAGGAATCTTGAAGGGGTTCGGAACCCCACGTGCCAAATCTCCTGGGGCACGGCGCGGTTCCCCTGGGCTTTGCCAAGAGTCCCCGCATGCGTTTTTCTGCCCGAAAGAGGCCCCCAACACGGTTCAAGAGAGCCCCGAATCGCCGAACGTTCGCTGCAAGGCGCTCAAGATGGCCCCCCAGACGGCCCAAGAGGCCCCCAAAACGCCCCAACGGGCCTCCGAGAGGCCGCCCAAGCGGGCCCCAAGAGGCCCAAATCATTGTTTTTTTCCTGGGTGTTTGAAGGATTTCGGCGTTCTCGCCGTTTCGGCCTCCCGACGCTCCCAGACGGCCGTAGAGGCCCCCAAGATCGACCCAGTACGGCCGAAGACACCTCCAAGAAGGATCCCAAACGGCCCAAGAGGGCCCCAAGACGGCCCGAACGACGCCCAAAAATGTGCAAGAGGGCCCAAGGACAGCCCCAAAATGGGCCCAGGAGAGGGAATGCGAACAGAAAACCTGAGCCTTCTGCCCCAAGAGGCCCCAAGAGGCTCCCAAGATGCCTGAAAGAGGCCCCAAGACAATGAGTCGCCCGAGGAAGCCGCCCACAAAATCCCAACGAACATCCAGTAGGTGCATGCCCACAACCAGTTGCGGGATGGGTCGAAGGCCAAAATTCTCATGATCCTGGGCTCCGGGCCCACGCCCCTCCCCCCCCGAGATGGGAATAGGGGGTTACGACGACGACAACGACGACGACGACGACGACGATGACGAAGACACCGTCCGCTCCGACTCCCTGAAGCACCGCAACACCATCGGAAGAGGCCAGCCCAATCTGATTACGGCTGATATGCACGATTACAGATTGGCACCTCCCCTCCGTCAAATGTAGCAATATTGGAAAGAGCGTGTTCTACCGCTGCTGGCGGAAAACCGGGGGGGGTCACTACCGGTTCGAACCCCTCCCCCCCCCCCCCCTCCGGAAAACCGGGGGGGGGGTCACTACCGGTTCGAACCCCTCCCCCCCCCCCCCCCAGTTCATCATGAAAAGGGGGGGGGGTCACTACCGGTTCGAACCCCCCCCCCCCCCTCGAAAACCGAGTGGGGGTGCGGACAGTGGTGGGGACGGTGTTGGTGGGGACAGTGGTGAGGGGACAGCGGGACAGTGGTGGGGACAGTGGGGGGACAGTGGGACAGTGGTGGGGACGGTAGTGGTGGGGACAGTGGTGGGGACAATGGTGGGAACAGGGGGGACAGTGGACAGTGGTGGGAACGGTGGTGGTGGGGACAGTGGTGTGGGGACAGTGGGAATGAGGTGGAAACACTGGGACAGTGGAGGGTACAATGGTGGTGGAGACACTGGTAAAGGCGGTGGCGAGGACGGCGGTGGGACAATGGGACAGAGGTACAGTGGGGACAGTGGTGGGGACAGTGGGGACAGTGGTGGAAACAGTGGGACAGCTCAGTGGGACAGCGGAGGAGTCAGTGGGACAGTGGGGACAATGGGGATAGGCAGTGGTTGGGTCCGTGGAGACAGTGGGGAGAGTGGAACCGTGGTGGGAACAGTTGTGGGAACAGTGGGGACAGTGCGACAGTGGTGGGGGCATTGGTGGGGACAATAGGGACGGTGGTGGAACCAGTGGGGACAGTGGTGGTGAGGACAGTGGTGCTGGGAACAACAGTGGGGGATGTGATGCGAGCGGTGGTAGGGACCGGGAGTCGTTTGCTGGCGGTGCGTGGGGGGGGGGGGTCGAACCGGTAGTGACCCCCCTCCGGTTTTCGAGGGGGGGGGGGGGGGGGAGGGGTTCCAACCGGTAGTGACCCCCTCCGGTTTTCGAGGGGGGGGGGGGGGGGGGGGTGGTAGTGACCCCCCCCCGGTTTTCCAGATCCGGGGGGGGGGGGGGGGAGGGGTTCGAACCGGTAGTGACCCCCCCCGGTTTTCGAGGGGGAGGGGGGGGGGGGAGGGGGGGGGGGAGGGGGGGGTTTTGCCGGGAGGAGAGGGGGGGGAGGGGTCGGGGAGGGGGGGGGGGATTTTCGGAGGGGGGGGGGGGAGACCCCCGGGTTCCGGAGGAAAAGGTTGGCAATTTTCCACAGTAAAGCGGCGGTGGATCACGCTCTCTCCAATATTGCGACATGCCTAGGACGGCGATGCATGTGCCGATGCCGATGCCGATGCTGACGCTGATGTCGTCGTCGTCGTCGTCGTCCTCCTCCTCCTCCTCCTCCTCATGTTCCTCCCCCTCTTTTTGACACGGCGCAAACTTAGGGCTGCAGCTTGGAGCGTGACTTCCTCTTCCTCCTTCTCCTCCTCCTCGTCCTCCTCCTCCACCTCCTCATGCTCCTCTTCCATTTTTCGACGCTGCGCTAACTTGGGGCTGCAGCCTGGAGCTTCAGTTCCTTTTCCTCCTCCTCCTCCTCCTCCTCCTCCTCCGCATCCTACTAATGAGGGTCCGACCACCACCACCACCACCACCACCACCACCACCACTATCACCCACCACCCCGCACTCACAGGGGGGGGGTAGGGCCAGACCTCATACTCACCACCGCACGCCCACAGGGGAAGACCCCACCACACCACGCCCACAGGCGGGGGGGCCCATCGCGCGGGGGGGGGGGAGGGCGATGGCATCAGCATGAAGGGGGAGGAGGCTGAGACCCTGGACCATAGATCTATGTAGACACACAAGACTGCATTGGCGCTTCGCGCCATGCACCTTGGTCCTTGAAGCTTGGCATGCAGGCGGAATGGCAAGAAGGTCAAACAGACTGTTGTTTTTTCCGGCATCGCCATTATAATAATAATAATAATGTTTTTTCCGTTACCCTGACTCCATGTTTCTTTTATCTCATTATCGCTCTACCCTGCGAATTCTTCCCCATTATCCTCAGCTATTTATGCGGAGGCTCCTCATTAGAGAGCCTCTGGGGGCCTAACAAAAAATTGTCAGGCATTCTTAAAGCCTTCTGGAGGCCTCCTGAGCGTCTTCTGGGGGCATCTGGGGGCTTCCTCGGGCCACCCTGCCTCCAACTGCGGTCTCCCTGAACGACCGGGTCACGATTTCGAATGCTTCGGAGGGTGTCTTGGGGCCATCTTGGGCCGTCATGGTGCTCTCTCAGGCCATCTTGGAACCCTCTTGTGCTGTCTTGGGGCTCTCTGGACTGCCTGGAAGCCCTTCCGGATGGTTTTGGGACAATTTTCGAGCCTCCCAGGCAGTCTCGGACGTCCAGAAGACCGAAGAACAGGGCATTCCCAAAATCATTCAAAAACCTTAAAAAAATAGTGTTTTTCTGCGCTTTGGATGCCTCTTGGGGGTCTTCTTTGGGTCGTCATCGGGCGTCTGGTGGGTGTCTGGGGCCTCTTGGAGCCCTCGGGGGCGGCCGCCCTCCTGACCAATTTGGGCCCGTTGCCTAGGCCCAGCAAGGGCTTCCAGGAACGCTGAAACGCCTTGAGGGCCTCCTGCAGGGGTGTCCAAGGTGTCCCCAGGGCCACGGATCCGGGGGGTCCAGAGGGTCCCGGGTGGACATGTCAAAACATGCTACACATGTACGTTTCCCTCAGGCTATGGGGCGACGTGGGCCTCCTGGGGCCCTCTTGGAGGGCCCCTTGGGACGCCTCCGCAGCCTGTGAAGCCATCTTAGGGTGTCTTGGAGCACTCTCGGAACGTCCTGGAGGCCTCTTAGGCTGCCTGGAAGTCAAAGGCCATACTGGGCGCTCTTGGAACGCCTTCGGACGGTCTCGGACCCCCGGGGGCCTCCCGGGGAAGCCGTCAGAGGCAGAGAGGGGGTCCCTTGTTCAAGGGAGGTCCTTGCCCAGGGCCCCGAGTCCAGGATCTCCATGATGTCTCTATATGATGCAAACATATACGTTCGATTCTATATATATATATATATATATATATATATATATATATATATACACAAGACTGCATTGGCGCTTCGCGCCATGCACCTTGGTCCTTGCATTTTGATATGCAGGCGGAATGGCAGTAAAATCGAGCCTACAATTTAGCGATAACTCCTTGTTGCCTTTTCCGGCATCGCCGTTATAGTAATGAATTTCTTGTTCATTCCTCCATGCTTATGTTTCCTCATTCTCGCGGTACCCTGCGCATGTTCTCCATCTTTCGCAGCTCTTTTTGTGGAGGCTCCTCCTTGGTGAGCCTCTGGGGGCCTCGCAGAAATTTGTCAGGTTTTCTTAGAAACTTCTGGAACCCTCCTGAGCGTGTTCTTGTAACCTCTACGGGCTTCCTCGGGCCACCCTGCCTCCAACCGCGGTCTTCCTGAACGACCGGGTCACGATTTCGAATGCTTCGGAGGGTATCTCGGGGCCATCTTGGGCCGCCATGGGGCTTTCTCAGGGCCATCTTGGACCACTGTTGTGCCGTTTTGGGGCTCTCTTGGACTGTCTGAAGCCCTTTCGGATGGTTGTGGGGCGATTTTGGAGCCTCCCAGGCGGCTTCGGACGCCCAGAAGACCGCCGTCTTGGAGCGTCGGGAAGCCGATCAGAGGAGAACCACGAAATTCACCAAAAACCCACAGAAAATCAATGACTGTTGCATCTTGGGGTTTTCTTGGGAATGCTCTTGGAGGCCTCTTGGGACGTTTCGGAGCGATCTTCGGGGGTATGAAGGCTTCTTGGGGGTCGTCGTGGACCGTATTGAAGCTCTCTGGGGTCGTTTCGGGAGCGCGCCGGCGTCCCCGGCCCTATCAAAAAATATGAATAGGAGCATGTATACATATATGAATATATAACACACCAGAGCACAATCCCAGTCTGTGGATTGTTTGAAAATTAGTGATATGTATATTGAGATCGATAGTGACATCGATCGTGAGATCGACAGTGGGATCGATAGCGAGGACGATAGAAAAGGTCGATCGTGAGAGCGATAGTGAAGTCGATATCGTGAGATCGCTAGTGCGATCTGTAGTGAGATTGATTGTGAGATCGATAGTGATATCAAAAGTGAGGTCGATAGTTAGATCGATAAAGAAGTGGGTAATGAGATCGATGGTGAGACCGATCGATAAGAAGATCGACCAAGAACCCGGGAACCCGGAAACGCGGGAACAGCGCCGCCCACCATGGCCCGGAACCAGCAACCGAGAACAGGGGAAGCGGGAACCAAGAACCCGGGAACCTGGCCGCCTACGGAAATCGGCCGCCTACTTTCGCCAAAGCCTTCGAGATCCGCTAGGACCCCTTCAGTGCAAACACTGATAGGAGAATACACACATATTCTCACGCCCAGTGAGGGAGTCTGGGCCCCCCAAGTCGGAGGCCCATCGTGACCTCCTATCGTGTGACTGTGTCAAGCTGCTTAGAGCATTCCGCCGCAAGGGTGTCATTTCAGAACAAAGCCCAACGCGGCTCAAAGCAGTTCTCAGCAACGAAAAACAAGGTTTGGCATTGCTTGAAATCGTTGCCTGGCAGTGCTTTGCTGTGCGTTGCTTTGCATTGCTTGGCGCTGATTGGCATTGCCATGCGTTGCTTGGACTTTCTTGGCGTTGCTTCGCGTTTCTTGGCATTGCTTGGCGTTGCTTGGCAATGCTTGTAACATTCCGGAACCAGGCCTCCCCTGGCAATCTTAAAGAACGCTGGGCAACTGGGCAACGGGGTTGCCCCAGGAAGCTCGGGGGCCCACCTCTGAGATTAACGCGTCGCCCCCACCGGTTCCTTCCACAAACACATAACAGCCCCGGAGGCAAACCCCAACTGGGGAAGACGGGATCCTCAAGCTGCTCCTGTTCAAGACGAGGGAGGGGGGAGGTGGAGGCGGAGGGGGATCGGTGGGGAGGATCTTGCCTCCGATTGCTCTCCATCTGTCCCTCCCCGCCACGTCAGTCCCCTCCGACCTCCGACCCCCTCCTCTCCTGAGATGCAAGGAAGCGGCTCTCTGGGAGCGGAGGAAGAGGTTCTCATTTCCTCCGCTCCTCTCACCTCGCCTTCAACCGCCCTCCGCCTCTGGTATTCCTTCACTTCGCTCCACTCAAATCCCCACTCCTCTCCACCACTTCCCCCTCCTTTCTTCCAGCCCCATGGAGGGCCCAAAACTATACAAATAAGATTTGACCCGTGGCGCAAGTAACGACATGCAGATATTGGATATGGGATTCCCTGGAACCCCCCTTCGCCTCCCTCTTCAGCCCCATCTTCCCATCTCTGCACGCCCCTCCTCGCCTCCAGTCCCCCTCCTCATCACCCCCTTCCCCTCCTCCGCTGCAATGCATATTCTCCCCATTAGAGCCACATCTCCCACATCTAATCCCGCTCTCCGTCGCAGCGCGCAGCTGCTTGTTCCCGCGCAGAAGTTTCCTAAGCACCCCAGGACTCTACACATAAAAGTCCTAAGAGCAAAAGACCTGAGACGACCACGGGAAACCCACGGAACCAGGAAATGGATCAAGGAACACGACGACGAATGATGGAGACGACTTGAGGTGGCACCGGGAAAACGGCGGGCAATCAGCCCAACACCAGGGGGGGGGCGAAATGGCGACGACTATAGTATTGCAAGACAGGTGACGTGCACTCACATGATTCAAAAGCTGTCAGGAAAGGAACCTGCGCGACCCCGCGCCTCAAAATCTAATGCGACACTCGACCAGGTAAACGAATAAGAATCAGTATCAAGAAACGGCGGCGAAGAAACCCGCCGACACCTAGGCCCCTCGCGTAAAATAGCGGCGACAGCAACATATCCATCTGGAGGGGCAACGTCTCTATTGGCCTGGCCGGAACTCTCTCCACTTCATCCTCCCAGACGGTCGAAAAACCATTGCGTAACATGGAGGCTTCGATTTTGCACAAGCCAGTTCTCCACTCTGGACGTGGTCTTGCAGCAGAAAGTCGGCCTGTCGTCTCCCTGCTTCTATTGTCAACTCGTGCTGGCTACGGCGGTGGACCAGGTGTTTGAGCGCAGGCGGCTGAATTGCTCCATTCATCATCGCCCTTTTCCTACATTTTCCTGACGTGTCCCCTCGCGTCGATCCATACCGCGAGGACCCCAAGTTGTATACAACCACCACGCATTTGCAGGCCAATCTGATCTGCGGTGCACGATGCCACCCCCCCCCGCCCCCCGAGTCATTCCAGAAGCGAGGCTCGAGGACGGGCTGGCCATAGTCAGCGCGAATCTGGGTCAGCCAAGGCCGCGCCAAGACACCTCCCCCCCGCCCCCCGAACCTTTCCAGAAGGCTCGGGATGGGCTGGCCCGGGCCAACCAAGGCCGCCTCGGGAACCCTGGCCGGCCACGAGGTGGTTCCCAAACCCGGGTTGGTGGAGGGAGCGGATGGCGGGTGGTCTGCTCCACGTGACGTGGCCCCCGCCAGGAATCGGCCAGGGGGGCCAGAAGCTACTGGCTGACCCCCGCCAGGGCTGACCCCTGCTACCTGCGCCCCGAGAGGGTTCATCACGAAAACCGCTGGCATCACACTGAGTGGAGGGGGGCTCCACCGCGCTGAGCGCCGGGATGAGGGGAAGAAGAAAGCATGAGGAGGAGGTGGAGGAGGAGGATGGAGGGAGGACGAGGGAGGGAGGAGGAGGAACCGGACGAGGGAAGAACAAACGCCTCCGGCAGCCGTGGCTCGGCAGTCCCCGAGGCGGGCGCCATCTCCTTCTTGATCTGGTGGCGGCCCCAGAGCGCGCGCAGCATCTGCCGCAGCCTCGGCCCCGGCTGCCCGCCCGGGTCGGCCGAGGGCCTGCTGCCAGAGCTGCCGAGGCCGTGGGCCCCAGGCGCCCATGCACGGCAGATTCGCGTCGCGCCTTTAGGCACGCGCGGTGTGCGCGTGTTGTCCTGTTGTGGGGTGCCGCGCTGGCCCCGTGGCTCTCTGGCTGCGAGGGCCCCTCTTCGAAGACGTCGAAGATCTCGAACCGCAATTGAGGACGGCGCGAGGACTGTGAGGGGGGCTAGAGCGGTGCGGGGCACGGCAAGTTTGTTTCGTGCCGACTTCGGCGTTGGTTTCTGACACCGCGGGGATCGTTGGACCTTCAACGATCGGCCGTTTCCGAAACGTCAGATCGTTCAACATCGAACGATTCTGGGCCGCCGCCAGCGCTCAACATTGAACGCAGGCGGCGAGGACGCCGCCACTCGACACGACACAAAATGACACGCCGGGTGGGTGAAGAGGGGGATGGGGGGGAAACCGACCCTGTGAAACCGCCGGATAAGACCCCCTGCAAATCAACCAAATCAGCCTCCTGCCGAAGCCGTCCCTGGTGGCCGATGCGGACCACACGTAATTGAACCTGGAATTACGGGAGGTCCGCGTTGCTTGCCGCCTGTCAGGAGCCACCCATGCGGACCGCCTTCAAATGCTTCGATTGCAGGAGGTCTTATACAGCCGAAAAACCAAGGGGGGCAGTGGGACGACGACTTTTTACCGGTTGCTCCTGGCGGCTTGCGGATGCACCTACATTGCGACGCCGCCTCGACGAACAATCCCCGCCCCCTACATGTCAATGTTGACATCAAGCGAGCACTCCAAGTCCGGGTGGACAAAATAATGCAAGCCAACATTGAAATCTGGGGGGGGAGTTCCTCCTCAGAGATCAATGAAATCTGATTCAAGTTGGCTGCATTGTCAGCTGCCTTATTGGTTGCCTTATTGACAGCCTTGTTGGTTGCCTCGTCGGCTGCATCGCTGACTGACAACTTGTCAGCCTTGCTGGCTACCTCGTGGGCTGCTTCGTCGGCTACCTTATTGGCTGCCTTGTTGGCTTTCTCGTTCGCTGCTTGTTGGCTGTCTCGTTGGCTGTCTTGTTGGCTGCCTCGTTGGCTGCCTCGTTGGCTGCCTCGTTGGCTGCCTCGTTGGCTGCCTTGTTGGCGGCATTGTTGGCTGCCTCGTTGGCTGCCTCGTTGGCTGCTTCGTTGGCGCGCTTGATTGCCTTGTTTGCTGCTTCGTTGGCTGCCTTGCTAGCTTCCTTGTTGGCTGCCTCGTTGGCGGCCTTGTTGGCCTCGTCGGCTGCCCTGTTGGCTGCCCTGTTGGCTGCCTTGTTTGATGCCTCGTTGGATGCCTTGATGGCTGCCTCGCTGGCTGCCGTGTGGGCTGCCTCGCAAAGACCAGGAAATACAATCAGAGGACACGAACGCATTCCCCGAGGGCCCAAATATTCTACTTTGAAGCTCCACCACGTGGCGCCGTGGCCAAGAATAGTGCAGATTGGCATGTTGCCGGCTGTCTGGTAGAGAAGGGAACTGGTGCTGACGAGGTGCATGATTGTTAGATGCCCGTGCACTTCGAATCACATACTAGTCTGTACTTCCATCAGTGGGACAACGGAATTCTGCAAGTTGCTGCTGGCCGCGTGCGGATGTACCTACATTGCGACGCCGGCTCGACGAACAATCCCCGCCCCCTACATGTCAATGTTGGCATCAAGCAGGCACCCCAAGTCCGGGTGGACAAAATAATGCAAGGGAACATTGAAATCTGGAGGGGAGTTCCTCAGAGATCGATGACATCAGAACTCAGAAGGCTCAGATAACTCAGAACGCTCAGATAACTTGCGATATTTTGTCAACCCACTGCAGACTGGAGGGGTGATCTCTCCACTTCTTCCAGGGATCGAACACCTCATATTCTGGAAGGATAGCCTCCAGTTTTGGGGAGAAGAGGCCTGCAGAAGGGAGGAACAAACACACCCATTATGAAAGTCGGCACTCCGCATTGAAGGTTTTGGATCCTCTGGGCCTCTTCCCTGCAAGGTACGGTCGGACCTAGGACAGAAAACATATCCTTCAAGAACCTGAGACCCTCCGCCAGCCCAAACACCCCAAACCATAACATCACACCGAAGCTACCCTCCCCAAATATGCACGAGAACCTCCAACAACCACGGAGAACGTTAGGGTACCCTCCCCGATCCGACCTCGATCTTATACATCCGTCCGACCGTACGGAGGTCCACCCTCCGCAAGTTGAAGATTTTGGATCCTCTGGGCCTCTTCCCTGCAAGATATAGCTCCTCGCCGCCGCACCACCGTACACGCATCGGCATCTCGCCTCGGGCATTTCTCATCACTCAAAATCCTGAACGAGGGGGCTCAATCTGACACTTGCGTGAGCGCCGTGCACGCACATATTAAGCGTGCGCAACCACTCCCAGAATGGAAGGCGGGCCGTTTTCAAAATGTGGCTCTCGCGTGAGCGTCGCACACTCTCGTCTTGAAAGCTTCCAGCTAGCTGCTCCAGCGATGGATGGCGGGTACTTTTTGAAGATATGGACCTCGTTTGAAACTTGCTTGAATATGATAGCCAGAAGTTAGCAACTGTGTAACAGCTGCACGGGTAGTCACGGATATATTCGGCTCATGTTCAAAATGGTGCTCACGCCTGGGACCTCTCCACTCTGTAACCAGGCTGCACAAGTGCGAAGCACTTACATCGACGAGGGACTGTTTGTTTTCAAAGCGGAGCTCTCGCTGGACTTTCCACCAGCTTCATCGTCCTCCCCGAGGCTCTCCCTGTCATCTCGGGAGGATGGGGGCGTCCAGGAGGGGGCGTCCAACAGGGGGGTTCGTAAATCATGGCCTGAGGCATGTGCGCGGCCCCTAGGGGGCGCCAAGGGACCGTATACTGAAATAACATGATGGGCCATGAAATCTGGGCAGATATCATGGCCCCAGCCATGATACACTCCGACCCTGGTCCTCACTCGCCCCCTGGACGGCCCCGAGAGGAAGACTGGGGGGCGGTTCCTTTGGAACACGAGGATGCCACCCGACTGGTAAGCCCGTAGGGGCCCCAGTCTCTCAACGGGGCTTCCCGTATTGAAAGAGAATGCTCGCACTGTCTTCTGATAAAAAGGGGCTCGGGACTGGAGGTTGTGTTGCAGCATAGTCCGTGCATAACGGGTTTGTTCAGGTCCGCCTCTTCCTCCTCCCCCCCTCCCCCTGCTCCTCATCCCTCCTCTTCCTCATCCCCCCCTCCCCCTTGCTCCTCATCCCTCCTCTTCCTCATCCCTCCTCTTCCTCATCCCTCCCCCCTCCCCCCTGCCCCTCATCCCTCCTCTTCCTCCTCCCGCCTCCGCACTGCCACGGCAGCAGAAAACGTGCTGCAAGCACATGGGCGGTGCTGCGGTAGCAGCGGCACGAGGACTGTCCGTTTGAACGCGAAAGTTTCAGCCGGGTCAGCGCTGGGCTCCGAGGGAGCTGCTCGGGTGCCGCCAGAACCGATCGAACAATTCGGGGGCGCGCAAGCATGGATTAGCGATCCATGGATTTGGCGCGCGGTCGCCAAATCCATGGATCGGGGTAGGTGCCCTCCTCAAAATGCGGCCGGTGCCGCCTCGTTCGGCAACGGAAATGCGCGGTTTCCAATAGAAACGGGACCCGTCGCTAATCCACGCCCTCTTGATCCATGTTTGCGATCGCCAGAACAATGGCCTGACCGATTAGCTGTGGAAATGCCGTCTCAGGGCCACAATGAGTCAATGCAGTACTCGGGCCTCCTGGGCATCACGCTGACCAGATTCTGTTTCAGCACCCTTCGGTCGGAAGCAGTGGGTAGAAACATGAGGTAGGAAGTAGGAAGGCGTTGGAAGTAGATTGGGTCTCCGCCCACCCCCTGAAGAGGAGGGAAGAGGGAAAACCACTCGACTCTTGAAGTAGGAAGGCTGAGGTTGCGGATGCCATGACAGTGGACACCCTAACACTCCTATCATTGAATTTAAAGTGTGTTTAACATGTTTGACAGATGTTCTGAACATGTTTGAAACATGGTTTACATGTTCAGAACATGCTTAAAACTTGTTCTAGACATCTGGCAATTATTTGGCAGCATGCTTCCTCTCCATTGATCGTCCTCCACAAGGCTGAAGACATTAACAACCCCGGGCGGTCGGGGAAGTGGAGGCAGGACTAGGAGCACCAACATTCTGCCCCCTTTCAAAGCGCCTCCCAGCCGTGGCTCCCGGCGGACCCCCTCACTCGGACGCGCGCCATCATGGGTTGGGGATCTGCGGCTCTGGCGAACAGGCGCCAGAGCCACGGATCGGGGAAGGCACCCCCGAGAAATGAGGCCAGAGCCGCCCCATTTGGCGACGGAGCGCAGCGATCACGTGAGGAAGCGGGAGGCGGGCGCGGTCTCACAAGGCCGGCTGGGCCGAACATTTTACTGGGCTGCTAAGAAGGAGCAACCCTTTCTGGGGAGAGAAGAGGCCACGATCCCCACACCCGAGAGCCCTCAGCGTTCCCCCTGTGCCCCGCGCGCACTCCTGACTGTGGAGCAGGAAGCAGCGCCCGACTGTGAGCCAGACGAAACAGCCCCCAGCCGAAGAAGAGAAGATCAAACCAAAACGTCGAACACCCCGGCCTTGCAAGACCACGCCAGGCAAACGGGATCCACCGCTAATCCACGCGCCTTGATCCGCGTCTCCAGTTCTTTGACACACGGGGGCCACGACCCCAGACCTGACCGCTCGAGCCCTGTGCTTCCCCCTCCCCGACTTGTACAGTGGAGGCCAGTCCACAAGAAACCTTCCACGAGAAACCCAGCCCTGAGACTCCAGGACGTCCACTGATTTTTGGTGTGGGAACGTCACGCTTTCAATAGCAAAACCATCGAAACCCAGGGCACCCTGGAGGCAAGCAGGGTGTTTCTTGGCATGGGTCGCCACTGTAAAGGGATCCCTCCCTCGGAGGACCTGCTCCGACCCTCGCCCTCGCTGCCGAAACAGATCGACTCACACTGAAACGCACACTCGATCTCCCTTCTGCTATCCACCTCGCGGCTGGCTTGGCCCACATGAAGCAAATGACCCGTCCGCCTCCGATACCGGTGCCTTTCCCCCTTCCGCCACACCCTCACAGGATATGGCATCCAGTAAACTCATCCTCCTCCTCCTCCCCATCGTCGTCGTCGTCGTCCTCCTCCTCCTCCTCCTCCTCAACAACCTCCTTCTCCCTCTCCTCCTCCTTCTCCTCCTCGTCATCCCCTTCTATGCACTCTCTTGGCCGCGCAGGCCACACACCCACCCCATTCGCCAGCCTTGCGTGTAACCCGGAGGAGGAGGAGGAGGAGGAGGAGGAGGAGGAAGAAGGAATGAGATCCGAATTGACGCGCATCGGGCCTGGACCCGAGTCCACGGGCTGCCAAAAATATGGGAGGCAAGACATTCCAGCGGACACGACTGGCCAATCGCCGGGCACAATAAGAACATACCCGCGCAAGGCAAGGCGAGATGATCGGTCCGGGCCCAACCGAGGCGCAGGCTCCATCTTGTCGAGAACGCCTGACTTGTCCGCGTCGTACCTTGGCTGGCAAAGGAAGGCGGCGATAAGGTTGAAACGAACACGTCGTATTCACAACGGGGCTCGCTTTAAATTGTCAGCGTCGGATCTTGAAATCGGATCGAATCAAAGCGTGCGTACAGAGTCGAAATCGAATCGGATCGAGCTGGGCGAAATCAGTATCGAATCGGATCGATCGGATCGACATGGACACTGCAATGGTGGGCAACAGCCGTGTAAAGAGATGCCCACAATTGCGGCCCAGATCATCAGGTATTCACCAGCGTCTTGAGCTCCAACGGCCCGTTGGGCGTAGGCTGTTTTGCTCGATCGTTATTCAAACTACCCTCCCCCTCCTCGCCCAGCGAAGCCTCCTGGCGGCTTCTCGGAGGGCCTCTTGGTAGGTTCTGGAGCCTCATGGGGCATGTGAGGCGCCCAGGACGCTAGACCCTGTTGGCATCGAGATTTGGAAGTTTGGGAGCCCTCCTGGGCTCTCTCGGAGTCCTTCTGGGAGCCCCGATGGGACCGTCTTGGGCCCGTGCTGGGATTCTACAGGGGCCCTCTGGAGGCCATTTTGAAAACTCAAGAATCCTTCGAGAGCAAAACGGCGCCGAAAACAAACAACCAATATCTCACTTCATCGAGTGTTTGAAAGAATTCGGCTTCTCGGGAGCCCTCTTGGCGGCGTCTCGGGGCCATCTTAGGCCGACCTGAAGGCTGTCTTGGCGTGCTTCAAGGGTGGTGGTGCCTTGTCCTGCTGTCTGGCGGAACTGTCTTCGCAGCGTCTTGGGCCGTCTTGGTGTCCACCCCACGCCCGCTTTGTGGCCGCCAGTCGACCGGAGGGGTCCGCTGGCCGTGTTAGGGGAAGTCCCTCTCCACCCCTCCCCCTACCCCCGGGTCAAGACGACGCCCCCCGCGAAATATGGCAGCGTCCAATACTGCTCAAGCTTGCTTCAAGATGGCCGCATCTAGCCCAAGATGTCCTCCCAAATGGTTCAACATAGCTCCAGATGGCTCAAGATGGCCTCCATCAACCTCCAAGAGCGCCCAAAGACGGCTGCAAATGGCCACTGAGCCTCCCATGGACACAGCCGAGAAACCCAAGTTCCCCAAAACCGAACGTTACTCCATGAGGTGTTTCTTCTCAACTTTCCGCCTCCGATGGGGCTTTGAAGCCTCAGGATGGCTGGAAGATCGCCCAAGAAAGCCCCTGGAGGAGCCATCACGACCCTAGTTCGGCCCCAAAGACCTAAAGAGCGCCCCAAGAGCATTTCAAGGAGTGGTATGTTGGAATCCAACGGTGGGGGGGGCTCAGATTGAGAAGCCCGCCATTATCTGATCTATGTCTCTCAAGATGACCCGAAGAGGGTCCATAACGCCCTCCAGAAAGCCCCGAGAGAGCCCCAATCGGGCTCAGAGAGTGCCTCAACTTGAGGCACTCTTGGAGCCCTCCCAACTGGCCACCGATAGAGACTAAACAAACTTCCAAGGGGATCGCATATCTGGACATCGCTCGGACGTCCATTCCCTGTGTTTTTTTTGGTTTCGTGCGTGTTTTTTCGCAAACTGATCAAGGATGGTCCTCGATGGTTCTCGCCGAGAAAAAATGCACACGTCCGAGCGATGCCAGGATATAAGAAGATCTGAAAAAGGCATGCACGGTTGACGCCTGGGCCTGCCCAGGCTGGGTCTGACGGCTGCCCCCACGTGTAAGCTTTTTGTTCGGGTTTCGACGCTTGGCCGAAGGGTGGAGGGGGGGTCCTGACATGTCGCCAAAACTCGCAGCCTGTTGGACGTGTCCCACCCACCCATGACCCAAGACATATTGATCTCAAAACGACGACGTTGACGATATCGATTCACGGGTTTCGACACTTGGCCGAAGGGTGGAGGGGGGGTCTGGATCTGGGCCGGCGCTGAGTCGATATGCTCTTTACCAGCAGTCGTGCACGCAAAATTGGCAGGGGCGGCCCTGACATGTCGCCAAAAAAGCAGCCGCCCAGAGCATACAAGATCTGGTCTATGGAGGGGAAAGGGGCGGGCGCGACGATCGGCGAAATAAAAAAAAGACGACTACCGTTTGGTTCGACTGCATGCTCCTCGAGCACATGGCAGCTCGCCTGGGCCTTGTCGGGAAGGGCCTCAGCGTCGTCGTCGTCATCGTCGTCGTCGTCGTCCCCCGTCAGGGTCGGCGGCGCCAGCCGTACGGCTCTCTAAATACCGTTGGGCTCGACTACTCTCCTCCACGTTTCTTAGGCACGCTGCAATGCGCGCACGTCGCCTGAAGCGTCAGAAAGCCCGCGCGGGCACGCGCGGGCAGACAAGGCAAGCCGCGATTCGAGCACGGTGCGGTAGAGCAGGAACCTGGAAAGGAAAGCGGTGTGATGGTGGACAGGAGAGCTCCTGCTCCTCCTGCTCTTCCCCCTCCTCCTCCTTCTATCTGACTCCTCCTCCTCATCATCCTCCTCCTCCTTATCCTTCCACCTGCTGTGGGTGTCAGGCAATTCCGAGGCAATTCCTCCTCCTCCTCCTCCTCCTACTTCTCCTCCTCCTCCTTCTTATCCTTCCACCTGCCGTGGATGTCAAGAAATTCCGAGGCAATTCCTCCTCCTCCTCCTCCTCCTCCTCCTCCTCCTCTCTAACCCCCCACCCCAGATTTTGGCTCGACTGCTTGCTCCTCCAGCTCCGTGCCCAAGGCAACCCGCCCGGGCCTCGTGCCGGGAGGGGCCTCCAGGGGGATGCGCGGAGCTCCAGTGCTGGCGGAGGCCCCCAGCGTCCGAGCGGAGCGACGGGGCGCCCTGGCCGCGCAGGAAGTCCGAGGGCACGGAACAGGAGAGGAGTGGACGAGCGCGCTCCGCTGCTCGCAAAGCAACTGCTCGCAAGTGGCCCGGATCCGCCGCGGGGGATCTGCGATCTGTTGCGCCGAGGCGCACGCACATGTGCTTTTCGGAGGTTTGCGAGTAGGCGCTTTGCGAGGAGTGGCACGCGCTCGTGGAAGGAAGGCGGGGGTGGCAGTCCGAGGCTATGTATAAGGCGAAGCTAGGACGAGGACAACATCGTGTGAGGACAAATCGAGAATCTCTGAGATCTGGCGGCTCTGAAGGATGTCTCGGGCGCCGCGGCCTTATCAGAGCGTTCCTGAAAGCTCTGAGTGTTCGATAACGTTCTGAGAGCGTTCCGAAGCTATGTAGTAACCCGATGCAAAGATCATCAGCTCGTCGTTGTCGTTGTCGTCGTGGTCGTCGTCCTTCTGGGTCGGCGGCATTGGCCGTAAAGGCCTCACAATATCAACCCGATGCAGGAAATCCGAAGGCACGGAACAGAAAGGTAAGGTGGGGGTGGGAATGCGAGCCAACGTCATGGAGGCCAGTATCCTGTGGTAAGGTGGCAAAGAGAGGAGCGAGGGGGGCGGGGGGGCTCGCGTAGCCGCACCAGCAGTCCTCACGACGGCTCCCCCCCAGCTCTTGGGGCCGCAAGTTAGCCTCTGGACGGCCCAAGAAACCCCCAACATGGCCCACTGCGTCCCCTGTGTATTGCGCTCCAACATGGCACAAGAGAGCTCCAATACTGCCAACTATGGGCTCAAGGCGGCGGTAGACTGCCCAGGCCCCGAGACCCAGGATAGCCTCAAGACTGCCAAAAACGCGCCCGACACGCCACAGAGGGCCCCACGAGGCCCTCCAGAAAATATGTTGGCGTTCTCGCCTGTTCATGCAAGATGGCCTACGAGGCGTCCAAAATGACCCGAAGACGGCCCAAGCAAGATGCTATCAAGAAGGCCCCAAGAGGGCCAGAGAGGGCCCCACGATGTCCCAAGATGCCCCAAGACGACGCAGAGAAGTCCCGAAGACTGCTTCCGAATGCGTCAGACTTGCCAAGAGCGCCTTCAGATGGCCCAGGAGAGCCTCAATGGACCCCCAAGACGCTCCCAAGAAGCCCCTAACAAGCCCCCAGGAGGCCCACGAAGGCCCCAAGAGACCACCGACAAACCTCCGTACCCTTCTCCTCTTGTTCGTTTTACCGTTATTCTTCTTCTTCGTATTATTCTGCTTCTTAATATCATTCTTGTTGATCCTCTTCCTACACCTGACGGCCCCACGGCATGCCATTCCTTGAAGGGCCGCCGTGGCCATCGCGCTGCGAGCTCAATCATTACCTGGACCGCAGCGGGCGAGTGGGCGCCACGAATCGCGCAGGGCGGTGGCGGCTCATCCAAAAGGCCAGACGGTGCCCGGACAAAAAGTGTCCACACCGACGGCAAGAAGGCAGTCAGACATGATGGCAACAACAAGTGCAATCTACATTTGACTCGCCCCCCTCCCCCCCCAAACTCAAAGTTGAAGTGTCCACATTTTGTCCCTCGCGCGTTGCCTCGCAGCTAACCCCGCCAACTTTGAGTTGGGGGGGGCGGGGGCTACGGATATTTGTTCGACTGAATTCGATGTCGTATCATCTTAGCGCGATGGGTGTGGACACTTTTTGTCCGGGCACCGGAACTCCCAGCAAAATTCAGGGTTGAGGCTCAACGCACGGGTTATTTGGCGTCAGTAGCAAAGGCTACACCAAGCTTGGGGCCAAGGGCACGGACGAATCCGGGCCAATGTCAAGGGCTACCAGGGGTTAGCCCCGAGAGCTGGCATTCTGGCAAACCGATGAAGGCGACTACTGGCAGGGAAGCGTGGCAGGGGTCAGCGGCAGCTCCAGCAACCAAGCAGAAGTGACACACACACACACACATATATATATATATATATATATATATATATGACGAGCGTCACTGCTCACACTGTTTCGGACATGTTTCCGCAACTTACTGTAACACGTCCTACAGCTCACCCTGGGAGCCCGCCATAGTGTAGCACATTGACCATCAACACTCTGCTTGGATTGTATGCCCTGGTGTCTAATGGTCGTGTGCATATCGTGACGACCACACCCGACTCGTCGAGCGGGCTTTGTGATACAAACATCTACTCAACTTACTCAGGCGTCAAAGCAATACAACATGTCTCTAGCGACCCGTAACGGAGCGACCAACCCGATACACAACCCAGTACATCGTTTGCGCGGTCCGCACGGCGCGGCTTTGCAACACACATGCATAGAAGCTACAGATGAGCACGTCCGCTGTTGCAATGCCGAGCTGCACAACACAACAATCCATGCCAAACCTCCTCCTCCTCCTCCTCCTCCTCCTCCTCCTCCTCCTCCTCCTCATTATCCTCATCCTCCCCCTTCGCTCTCCCCCTCCTCTGCATCCACCTCCTCCTCCTCCTCCTCCTCCTCCTCCTCCTCTGCCGCCTCGGCCTCCCCCTCCTTTGCCCTTCCTCCTGCTCCGCCTCCTCCTCCTCCGCCTCCTCCTCCTCCTCCTCCGTCCCTCCTGCTCCCCCTCCTCCTCCGCCTCCTCCTTCTCCTCATCCGTCCCCTTCACCTCCTCTCCCTCGTCCTGGGCGAGCGAAAACACTTCCAAGGCAAGTGTTGGCAAGAGCATCGACATAGGCACGTCCATAGACGGCGAGAACGACCAAGCCACGATGAAGGAGATCTATGCTACCTTGGGTCCCAGCATCGAGCCCGCGCCCGACAATGAGACTATGGACGTCGACGCTGCCGTGAAGCTTATCGGCGACCCCGATAAGGGTGCCTGCGTCTTAGCACGCCGACTGGGCAGGGGCCACCGGCAAGCCCCTCTGCACGCAAGGACCCATCACGCCGACTGCTCCGCATGTCATGACGGGGCCTGCCTGGAGCGTGCCGGCGCCGCTGCGCTTCAGCGCCCCAGAGCGCCGGCGGGCTCCCGTGCCGGCGGAAGGACGTGGGCAGGCGGCGACGTCCGACCCCCACCCCCCACCAAGCGTCAAGTCTCCCGGATCGATGGGAGGCGGGGGGTGAGCCTTCGGACTTCCCCACGTGCTCGACACACTCCGAACCCCAACCCCGCCACCCATCGAGTTGCCGAAACCGCAGACCCTCGGGGGTCGGGTTCGGGTTTCGCCGCCGTGCGGTGGCGGCACCCGCAGAGCGGGTCGCGCCAGGGAGGTCCCAGTGGCGACCCGAGAGATCCGCGCGGGCCTCCGAAGTTGGTGTCTATGCTGTCTTTTGCTCTTCGACCTTCGGCCTCCCCATACGACCCCTACATGAGAAGAACGAGGGCGACAGGGAAGAGGACAGAGAACGGTGGCCTGACAAAAAGAGTCCGCCCCAATGGCACAAAGCCGTATCACGCCATATTGAATAACGTCTTGCACTCGCCCCCCCTCCCACCCAAGCCCAAAACATGAAGCGTCCACATTCTGTCCCTCCCGCGTTGCCTCGCGCGCACCACTGCCAACTGTGGTTTGGGGAGGGGGGCTCTCGATGTTTTGGATGCACTTCGTCGTAGCGTTGCCTGGGCGCGATGGGCGTGGACACTCTTCGGCCAAGAGGGGGGCGTCCAAGAGGGGAGGGGGCGCAAATCATGGCCTGCGGCATGTGCGCGGCCCAGGGGGGGGGGCCGGGGACGCATTGAAACAAGACGACGCGCCATGAATAGGGGAACAAAAAGTGACATGAACATAAAAACTCGGAGGCCCGCGCGGATTTCTCGGATCGGCGCTGGGGCCCCCCGGCGGCGCCTCCGGCGCCGCCCCTGGCGCGCTCCGCGCGCCAGGGAGGGGGTCCAGCGCCGATCCGAGAAATCCGCGCGGACCTCCGAGTTTTTATGTTTATGCCACTCTTTGTTCCCGTAGAATGAAATCTGGGGAGATACCATGGCCCACGCCATGGTATCCCCCCCCTTCTTACCACCCCCCTCCCTGCCGCCCCCGAGCTCTGTGCCCACTTACCGTGGGGATCTGGCCCGTGGCCCTCGGGTGGCCCCCGGGCGGCGGGGAGGCGCACTGGTCCCAGAGCTGCCGGGGGTTGTCCTGGGCACGGCGCGGCTCTCCCACCGCTCGCCGCTGGCACCGCTCTCTCGCCGTCGCGATCGGACGTCCACGCCCCGTGCATTTTGCTCGGTCTCGGGCGTGTTTTTGCTCGTGGCCCGGTGGCCCTCGCCGAGGAAGACATGCACGCGTCCGAGCGATGCCACGCTCGTGGCTGCAGGCCCCTCCCTCCGCTCACGGTGCAGACGTGGCGGGGGCCGCTCGCTGCGGCGGGGGTCTCCGGGGCCCTCCGCTCGGGAGCTCTCGGCACCGCTCTCGGCTGCAGGCCCCAGCCCTCCGCTCACGATCCATGCTGGCGGCCGCAACGCCCGACCCGGGAGCAGCGATGGTGCGCATCCTGAGATCCTTCAGCTCAGGAGGCGGGGATTACTGAACTGAAGAAACTCGGTGTCCTGGCATACCGAAATCCATCAGTTCAGCAATCCTCGCCTCCCCAGTCGCCACAGGTCGCCATGGAGAGGCTCAGGGGCCAGACCGCTGAACTGAAGGATCTCAGGGGGCGTAGACGGGCGGGGGAGGGGCACAGCCATGGAAACAACCGAAGGGGTTCGGTCGAACAGATCGGCGAACCAAGAACAAGTTGTCCTGCTGGCACTGCCCGTTGATGCTCAGGCATGATCACATCAACATCGAATTGGCAAGTCGGCTCGAATCAGAGTGTGTACAGTGGAGGCCAGTCCACGAGAAACCTTCCACAAGAAACCCAACCCTGAGACCCCAGGACGTCCATTGATTTTTGGTGTGGGAACGTCACGCCTTCCATAGCAGAAGCATCGAAACCCAAGAAACTCAGGACACCCTGGAGGCAAGCAGGGTGTTTCTTGACATGGGCCTCCACTGTATCGGATCGGTCTGTATCGGCACGGAGTTGAAATCGGATCGGCTGCGCCAAGATGCACAACCATGCCGTGCGGGCATCGGGCCGCATGGGATCGTCGGAATTTTGGCACAGGGTCGGATCGGGCTGGCCGAAATCGGCATCGAATCGACTCGACTGGATCGAAGTGGACCCTGTCAGGCAACTCGCACCCTATTCTCAATGGGGTACTTCTAAAGGGGGGGCCTTCCGACGGAGCTTGCCCCCCCCCCCCCCCTCCCTCCTCCTCCTCCTCCTCCTTCTCCTCCTCCTCTTCGATTCTTGTTCCTGTTTCACTCCTCCCTGTCGCACCCCGAGGCCGTCGAAAGGGCGGGCCCGGCGTGTCGCCTGAGACTTCCTCACCATCGATGACCCTGAAGCCTGATAATCGGCAACAGCTTCACATGCGGCTCTCGCCTTAGCGCCGCGCACATTCGTTGTACAAATCGCAAGCGCTTCACGCATCGAGGGCGGGCCCTTTTCAAGATGTGGTTCTCGCCTGAGCGCCGCGCACACTCGTCTTAAAGATTTGCCAGAGTTTCACGGATTGAGGGCGAGCCGTTTCAACACGTGGCTCTCGCATGAGCGCCGCGCACCTTCGTTTAAACAAATGCAATATTTCACTGATTGAGGGCGGGTCATTTTCAAAATGTGGCTCTCGCCTTAACGCCGCGCACATTCGCCTTAAACATTTGGAACAGTTTCACGAATTGAGGGCTGGTCCTTTTCAAAATGTGGCTCTCGCCTTAACGCCGCGTGCATTCGTCCTAAACATTCGTAAGAGTTTCACGGGTTTCCATGGTCGACGTATCAGACATGGGGTTTTGGAAGGACTCTGGATTAGAAGGGCGCCGTAATTGCGTTGATTCGCGGTGTTGAAGTCTTAAAAATGGCGTTATGATACGATTCAGGATCGTCACGACGCAACCGTCAGGTTGAATCGTGTTGTTGGAGTCCTGCGAATGGTGTTTTGGCACACTTCAGGGTCTTCAAGCGAGTTGTCTCCCAACGTGGCAGTTCCCTCAATGGAAATCAACCCTTGTAGGGGCTTGTGAAGAAGGAGCTCGGAGGGAGGGTTTATCCCAACATCTTTGATGAGTTTTGGGTTTACACTTGTCCTCCTCCTCCTACTCCTCCTCCTCCTCCTCCTCTTCCTCCTCCTCCTCCTCCTCATCCAACCGCCCTCAACCCGCTCTGGCAGCACGTGCATGTACGTGCCGAGCCCCCCGGCGGATCCAAGGGGGGGGGATGATTGCCCCACCCAGAATATGTGGCACTTTTCTAAGCGAGGCAAATTGATCTGTGGGAGGGGCCGTGGCTTGAGGCTGCCTCGTCCTCCGACTGGCCGCGCCCTCCTCCCTCCCTGTCTCACACCCCCTCGTGCTCTTCCGTACTCTCGAATCTCGCACCTCATCGCCCTCCCCGCCCCCTCCACCTCCTCCTCGTCCCTCCTCTTTCTCTCCTGATATCTCTCTCCTCCTCCTCCCTCCCTCCCTACCTCCATCCATCCCCCTCCTCTTCCTCCTCTTCCTCCTCTTCCTCCTCTTCCTCCTCCTCCTCCACCTCCTCCTCCTCCTCATCCTCCTTCTCCTCCGCTCTGCACGGCCCCAGCCCCGCGCGCTGCTGCGGCGCCTTCTGGGCTCCCTGCCCCATTGCGTGAGCATGACCCGACCCGGGCGGCTGGCGAGGGGCCGACGACCCCGAAGTATCAGAGCCCTCCCGCCACCCTGCACCCACTCCCTCCTCCCTGCCTCCTCCTCCTTGCCTCCTCCTCCCTGCCTCCTCCTCCCTCTCCTCCTCCTCCTCCTCCTCCTCCTCCTCTTCCTCCTCCTCCTCCTCCTCCTCCTCCTCCTCCTCCTCCCATCCGCGCCCGACAAGAGGGAGAGAGAGAGCTCGTCCAATATTGAGCCCGGTGCCTCCTCCTTCCACCCTCCACCTCCATCCCTCCTCCTTACAGATAACTCCTCCCTATCGGCGGGCTGGGCGTTTCGCCTGGGACTTCCTCTCCATTGATGACACTGAAACTTGAAGTCGGCAAGAGATTCACGGAAGGCTGGTGGTTTTCAACATGTGGCTCTCGCATTAGCGCCGCGCACATCGTCGTAAATATTTGCAAGAGTTTCGCAGATGGAAGACGGATGGTTTTCAAAATGTGGTTCTCGCCCTAGCGTAGTGCAAATTCGTCGTAAAAGTTACAAGAGCTTCACGGATGGAGGGCGGTTCCTTTTCAAATTCCACCACCCCTCTGGGCGCAGGTGGTCTAACGATTACTTTCTTTCCCCTTCCAAAAATCCTTCTTCCCCTTCGGGGAGGGGTTTACCCCTCCCCCTAATTAACCCCTCCCCTGGACCTGGACGGGAGGGGCTGCTGCGAAACGTTGGAGCGTCCAAGACTGGCCCCTGGGAGGGCCAATTCTTGACACCCCTCACGAGGATCGTGGCCCCCGAGGGGAGGGCCTCGATCGGGACCCTCCCTCCTTTGATCGATAGCCTCGAAGATGGCCCCAAGAGGCGCCCCAGGGCTCCCAAGAGAGCCCCAAGAGAGCCCCAAGAGGGCTCCAAGAGGGTCCCAAGAGGGCCCCAAGAGGCACCCGAGAGGCCCCCAAGAGGCCCCCAGGCGGTCTGAGAGAGCCCAAGACGACCTCCAAGATGGCTCAGATAGCCCAAGCTGGCTCAAGATGGCTCCCAAGATGCTCCAAACGGCCCCAAGACCGCGCCAAGAGCGCCCAAGAGCACCCCAAAAGAGCCCCAAGAAGCGGTTTGCCGGCCCCTGATGAGGGGAGCTGAGTTGGGGACCCCCCCATCTTGTAATCGATGGCCTCCAAGATGATCCCAAGAAGCCTTCCAGGGTTACCCAGAGTGTTCCAAGAGGGCCCCCCACACTCCCAGAGAGCACCAGCAGCAGCAGCAGCCGCAACAATACCTCTAAATGGTTCCATGAGTCCTCGTCCACGTCGTCCTCATCCTAGTCCTCGTCCTCCTCGTCCTCGTCCTCATCCGCGTCCTCGTCCTCCTCGTCCTCCTCGTCCTCCTCCTCCTCCTCCTCCTCCTCCTCCTCCTCCTCGTCCCCTCGCCCCCACACGGCACCCAGGGATGGCCCGAAGAGGCCTTCCAAGTCAACCCCCTTGCTCGCTTTGTTCCCTAGATGTGTCTCTTCGTCCCTTTTCCCGTCAGCTCTGAAGGGCAGGGTTTCTGAATGGGCTGGTGGGGGTACTTTTTTGATCGCGAGCGCTAACGGTACGACCGCGCGCCGAACAGAATGGCTGGTGGGGATATTTTTGGTTGGCGGCTCCAGGACAAATGTCAAGAAGCGGGATAAACGGCTGGGGCACAGGCCGTAGATAATTGGCCGAAGGCTGGTGGGGATATGCGAAGCGTGAAAAATTGTGGCTGTCGCCTTAGCGCCGCGCACAGTCGTATTAACAGTTAACAGCAGTGTCAAGGATTCTTATGGCTGACGTCCCAGAAATTGTGTTTTGGCCGGATTTCGGATCGTCAGGACGAGACGAGACAGTCACGAGCGGTGTTGAGTCCCAGCAATGGTGTTCTGGCACGATTCTGGATCCCCAGGACGCAACAATAGCGTTGATTCACGGCGTTGAACTCCTGCGAATGGTGATTTGTCATGGTTAAAGATTTCCAGAAGGTTGTATTCCAACGGGGCACTCCCCCCGCAGTGAAAATAAATTCTTATAGGACCTATGAGGAACGAGCTCAGAGGGATGGTTTATTGCAACATTGTTGACGAGTCTTGAGTTTACACTTGTCTTCTTCATCCTCCACCTCCCCCCCTCATCCTCCTCCCCCTCCTCCCTCCCCTCTCCTCCCTCCTCTCCTCCCTCTCCCTCCACTCCACTCCACCATCTCCTTCCTGCTGCTCCCCGTCATGCCGCCCCCCCCTCGTCCTCCCCTCCTCCTCCGCCTCCGTCCTGCCCGCGCCCCAGCCCCGCCCCCCTCCTCTCAATTCAGCGACTCCGAAGGGTGTGGTTAGCAAAGGGTGTAGTTTGCAACTGGCGTCCTTAGGGGCGGGCGAGGACCTCGACAGAGCTCTCCGCCGCGCCCCGAGGAGGCCCGACGGGGACGGTGTCGTGCCCCCAGGCCCCGACAGTGCCGATCGCAAACCACACCCCGGCGTAACCATACCCTTTGTAGTCGCCGATATCCCCTTCGGGGTCCGGCGCGGGGGCGCGATGGGTGGGATCCGCCCCTGGCGCCGCCTGCGAGTGCTCTGCGGTGGGCGCACTCCGCTGCCGCAGAGGGGATAAAGACGAGGATGCGAAGGCGGAGGGGAACGAACGAACAACTCTGCAAATGTGCATCTGACGGGCCCGCGGGCCCACAACCGCGCTGTATGAGATGCATATATGGCATGCGGGCCTGAAGGGCGCCACTGGTACGATCTGCAAACCCGCGTGGCATCGGATGCACTCTGGCTCCCGCCAACCCCCCACCACGGCTGGACGGCCAACGTTTTAAAGACAGGTGCGGCCGTAGGGTTTGGGCCAGCATCGCGGGGAGAAATCAAGAGCAAACTTCGCGTCGGAACTCACCCAGCGAATCGGCCGCCCAAGACAAGGGGGCGACAGGCGGAACACCCCGACACGACAAGGCGAGGCAGAGGAAACGACAGGGCAAGCAGACGGCCGATTCGAGGAGGAGAAGGAGGAGGATAAAGGAGGAGGAGGAGGAGGCAGAAGGACGAGGATGAAGGAGGAGGATGGACAGGGGGGAGAGGGGAAGGGAGGCGGCGAGGACAAGCGGGACGGGCGAGGATGACAGCAGGGAGGCTGCAGCGTCGGGCTGGGAGCATCGGACTGGGAGGCTGCAGCGAGAAGGGGAGGCCGCAGCGTCGGGCCGGGAGACCGGCAGAGCGGCATCGCCGTGCTCACCCCCCGCCGCCCTCGGCCTCGCCGCGCCCCCTCCTGGGGGGACAGGCAGTGGCATAAACATCAAAGCTCGAAGGTCCGCGAGCTCAGGGTGTTCCCCACAGCTCCTTTCAACTGACGGTCAGTTGGGGGCAACTCAGCCAGGAGTTCCTTCCATCCGCTCCTGGGTGGGACGGGGGGCGAGGTGCAGCGCCACCCCGTTCCCCGTCCCGCCCGGGAGGTGCCTCCAACTGACGGTCTGTTGGAGGCAACTCAGCTGGGAGCTGCCTCCAACTGATTGTCAGTTGGAGGCGACTCAGCTGGGAATTGCCTCCAACTGATTGTCAGTTGGAGACAACCTAGCGGGTGGGACGGGGGACGGAGCGCGGCGCCACCGCGTCCCCCGTCCCGCCCGGGAATTGCATCCAACTGACGGTCAGTTGAAGGCAACTCAGCTGGGAGCTGCCTCCAACTGGTAGTACGCTGGCGTTTGTACGCTGGCACTTCGAGTTGCCGCCAACTGACCGCCAATTGGAAACAACTCAGCGGGCGGGACATTAAAAATAGGCTGCCCCCCTTCGGGGAGTCGCGATTCAACGATAAACTCTTCCTGATCCTCGAAGAAAACAACACCCTAAACCCGGCAACTTTGCGTCTCTGGAACCTTCCCCCTGCTCGTCCGGGTTCGGCGGGAGGGCGGACCCTAACGGGCGGGACGGGTCGACTCGGGCGGGCGGACCCGAACGGGCGGGCCGGGTCGGGTCGGGTCGGGCGGGACATTAAAATATGATGCATCATCGAATTGGCACGCGACTGCCCTAACGGGCGCGAGGGGCCCAGCGGGCGGGCGGACCTTAACGGGCGGGACGGGTCGGGTCGGGCGGGCGGACCCTAACGGGCAGGTCGGGCTGGGTCAGGAGGGCGGGACAGTTGGAGGCAACTCAGCGGGTCAGTTGGATCGGAGACAACTCAGCTGGTCAGTTGGAGGCAACTCAGCTGGTCAGATGGAGGCAACTCAGCTGGTCAGTTGGAGGCAACTCAGCTGGTCAGTTGGAGGCAGCTTGGCTGGCCAGTTGAAGGCAACTCAGCTGGGAGTTGCCTCAAACTGGTCAGTTGGAGGCAACTCAGCTGGTCAGTTGGATGCAACTCAGCTGGAAGTTGCCTCCAACTGACGGTCAGTTGCATGCAACTCAGCTGTTCAGTTGGATGCAGCACAGGTGGGAGTTGGCTCCAACTGGCGGTCAGGCAACTCAGCGGTCAGCTGCCTCCAACTGACGGTCAGTTGGAGGCAACTCAAGCAGCTGGTCAGTTGGAGGCAACTCAGCTAGTCAGTTGGAGGCAACTCAGCTGGTCAGTTGGAGGCAGCTCAGCTGGGAGTTGCGGAGGCAACTCAGCTGGTCAGTTGGAGGCAACTCAGCTGGTCAGTTGGATGCAACTCAGCTGGAAGTTGCCTCCAACTGACGGTCAGTTGCATGCAACTCAGCTGTTCAGTTGGATGCAGCACAGGTGGGAGTTGGCTCCAACTGGCGGTCAGGCAACTCAGCGGTCAGCTGCCTCCAACTGACGGTCAGTTGGAGGCAACTCAAGCAGCTGGTCAGTTGGAGGCAACTCAGCTAGTCAGTTGGAGGCAACTCAGCTGGTCAGTTGGAGGCAGCTCAGCTGGGAGTTGCGGAGGCAACTCAGCTGGTCAGTTGGAGGCAACTCGGCTGGTCAGATGGAGGCAACTCAGATGGGACTTGCTTCCAACTGGTCAGCTGCCTCCAACTGTGGGGGACACAATGCGCGAACTTCTACTGTATGCTTATGCCATTGTTTGTTCCCCGTCCCTCTGGATCCTGCCCTGTTTTCGTTCTTCTCATCGTCCTTTTCCCGACCTGTGTCTCAATTAGTTCCTGGCGCGTCCTGCCCGTAGCCCGACCGGCGCCTGCACCGCTTTCGCACACTTGCGCCCGCTGACCTAACACAAATTCCCTGGCCCAACGGGCCAAAAGCGTGCTAAGGTCTCCGGCAACAAGTTTACAGCGCTTCTGATTCGCACGCGCGTGGCGGCCCCTGGGGGTCCCTGTTCGAGAAGTACCCCAGGACATCCCCGGGACACTCTGGTCAAGGATGCTAGAACTCCGGGGGCGGCCCTCAGACGGGCCAAGAGTGCCCCAGGAGGTCCCCAAGACAGTCCCGAGACGCCCGAAGATCGCTCCAAGACGCCCAAGATGGCCTCCAGACGACCCAAGAGGCCTCCCAGACCCCAAGAAGCCCAACTCTCTGATTTTCCTAAATGTTTTTCAATGATTTTGGCGTTCTCGCTTTTTCGGCTTCCCGACGCTCCAAGACGGCCCCAGGGGCCTCCAAGGTCACCCCAAGGCGGCCCAAAAGGCCTCCAGGAGGGCCCCAAGACGGCCCAAGACGGCCCAAGAGGCCCGCAAGACGGCTCCAGGAGGGAGCCCAGACGGGGGACCCGAACGGACATTTCGAGCCCTGGAACCCAAGAGGCCCCCAAGAGGCTCCCAACTCACAAAACGCTCCCAAGAGGCCCCCAAACTGCCCTCCGGAAGCCCCAGAGAACGACCGACGAGACCCCAAAACGCATTTCTGAGGACTCTGGCCACGCCCAGGCGTGCCGGTGGGGCAATAAAGGCCAGAACGCCCACGACAAGCTCCAAAGCATCTACTTTACCTCCATGCCTGCTGTCGCAACGCCTCCAGAACAAAAGAAGAAAAACAAAAAAAACGCCAAGCAGCGCCGCAGGCAAACGCCAGGTATGGCACAATACTGGACGGCGGAATGAGCGAAGCGATTGAACTCCCTGACCCGCCACCCCGCCGCCCAGCGTCGCGGTAGCCCGTCGTCGCGGGCCCGCCGGCTGCGTCGTCGGCGAACTCCGCGTGGCCGCTTCCGCTGCGCGATCTGAGCCGACGAGGAACACCATCATCCGGCCGACTCAACCGTGGGACGTAGGACCCAGGGGGGCCCATCTGGAGGTGATGGAGGGAATGCCAGCGCGGGGTTGCCCTGGGTCACCAAGCTTCGCGGCCGCACCCCGCGGTGCGCGACGGGCGCCTGTTCTTCGCGTCCCCACGCAGCCGCCCTCGAGAAGGGCGCATCTCCGGCTCGGGCAGCGATGCGCGAAGCCCGGGAGCGGCCAAGAGGGGGGTGTCCAATAAGGGGGGGTGCAAATCATGACCGGCGGCATGTGCGCGGCCCAGCGGGGGGGCCTGGGACGTAATAAAATAAGAAGAGGCGCCATGAAATCTGAGTAAAAATCATGGCCCGTGCCATGAAATCCACCCCCCCCTAATCATCACCCCCCTCTTTTCCGCCCCCGAGAAGCGCAGGTAGTTCGCGCCCCCGCGGGTGACCCGGGATGCCCGTGTGCGCTCCACGCTGGGCAAGGGTGGGGCTGCCTCTCGGCGCTTGCGCTCAACAGTCAAGTGCGGCGAAGCTGGCGCTTACTGGGCCCTGGAAACGGCAGGGCCGTTTTTTTCCCCGCTTCCGAACGAAAATGTTTCTTGAAAATGGAAGCGGCTAAAGAACGGCGACCAGAAACAACAAAAAAAAATGGCTCCAGGACTGGAACCGGAGCTGGAACTGGTAAAAACGGCGACAGAACCGGTAAAGCAACGGTGTCGGAACCGCCAAGAAAACGGCAAAACGGAACCGGTAAAAAAACGACCCTGTCGTTTCCAAGGCCCACTAAGAGCTGGCGCCCGTCCCCGAACGGGCGCGCTTGCGCCGCACGCCTCTGTCATTCTCGCGTGCGCTGCCCCGCGCACCCGCTGTGAGATTCGAGCCCCTGCCCAACGACGTGCCCCTGCGCTGGCCGGCCCCGCGCCGGCAGCCCTCGCGCTTGCCGGGGAGCAGGACTTCATCGAACGGAGCTCGGCCTTGAAAACCGCGGCCTTGCGCCTGTCCCGTCCCCTCCTGCCGGGCCTCTGGGCCTTCCATGGGCGGCATCGCGTCCTCGACTGCGCTGATCTGATCCAGGCTGTCTTCGGTCGCCAGTTGCCAGATCATGAGGATGCGCGGCAAGGGTAAAAGGCTTTTGGGCACCCAAGTTGAAGCCGGAATTGGAAAACCATGGCCAAGAGACAATGATATAAGAGAACCCTTCGAGAAATACCCACCCTTGGCAATGCGGTTTGGCTGCTTTTCGCTGTCGCTGTCCCTCTCGCCCCACTGGCTGGATGCGCTTAAGCCCCCGCTCGACCACTGCAAGAACCTGAAGCACTTGCGCTGCGACCGGATTATAACGATGCGTGCGGGGTAAGAATACGCTAATCTTGAGACCGACGTTGGAAACCCATGGCAAAGAGCTAGAATGGGCCGATGGGCAAGGATGCCGTTATACCCATCCTTAATGATGCGGC